AGCTGCAGATTCAGTGCTGTCCTCTGAAATAAATTCTTCTGGGGGGAGGGGCAGGTGTCCACGTAGTTGTGATTGGGGCCAGCCCCTCACACCCCTCCACTGGTTTCCTACTCCATGCAGGCATGTTGCATTCACATCTTGGAGCACTGGGTTGAAGTCTGGTCCCTCTTTCCCTGTGGAGATAGAAACAATACCCTCCCCTTGGGTAGCTTTGTGATTTATTTAACCCTTTTATTATTTGAATTTTTAAAATCAAGTTTGCATTCATTCCCTCTTCAGATCATTAAATTTATTGTTTTTACTTTTAATTTGAAGTTTTATATTGCTGTACAATTTCATGTTGGGATGTTAGGCAGTCCATTTCTTGCTGCTGTTAAATCTCTCCAAGTTCTTTGCTTGTGTTTCTTTTTATTTTTAAGTTGAACTTTTACAGATGTTAATATTTCTGTATTATGATGTTAATTTTTCAAATCCAATTTTTAAGTGTAACTATTTCCTTTGGCAGATGTTAAAGCTTCATTGGGGATGTGCTTAGAGGATTTTAAGTCCATTGTCTCTAGAAGGGGGATGGATGTCTTGTATAACTTAAGTTCATTTTGATTGTTAGATTCTTTCTTGCTTGTTTTTTTGTTTTTTTATTTTAAATTCTTAACATGAAGAAATCCCAGGGACATTCATTATATTTATGGAAAAATGAAATTAAATGGTATTGAAAGTTTTCACGCACTTTTTAAAACCCCTTTGTATATAAAATTGAGTTCAACAGTTAAATACCACTTGTATCCTCCAAGACTCAATCTAGGGATAAAAAGTACATGAGTTCTTTTCCAAGAGAAAATAAATTTTTAAGAGTTATCAAATAGGTGTTGGAAATATAATACTACCCTTTTTGTAAAATAGAATGTTCTTTAAAATGATAATTTTGGTCATATTGAAAGGGTTATATATTATGTTCTTTATGGTAAAATATTTTAAATTTACATTAAAAAATCAATTATCTTAAAATTTTCAGGTGCATCTAAGGAAGGCGGTGCTGGAGCAGTTGACGAAGATGATTTTATTAAAGCTTTTACTGACGTTCCTTCTATTCAAGTAAGAAACTTAGCTTAATGGCATTACTACCCATGTGTATTGCTTGCATGCCTGTTTATATAATTATTTTTGTTGCTTATTCTTCTTAAATAACTACATAAATAAAATATTTATTATTACTCAGTTGTCATTGGTTGGGACTATTTGATATTTAAGTGATGCTTTCAGTGAACATTTTGCTATTCTGCACTGTGCTGCAATGAAGATTCTTAATATACATATAGTCTAAATTATGTGTATAAGTTTCTGTGTAGAATATCAAGTCGCAGGGTTAAAATTCAATGTTACTCTGTAGGATGGTTTAAACCAGTTTTATCTCCCACAAACTATCTTTGGCAACCATCTTTGACCGTTTATATTACTTTTTTGGGTCTTTGAAAGAAAGAAAACTGTCCTATAAGCAGTTTCACTTACCTAGATCTTAAAGTTGTTGGAAAGATTTAGAGACTTTTCTGCCTTGGTTGTATTATATTATCTCTTTGTTGGGCCTATATTTGTGATGTTTTACATATTAATTAGTTTTCTTAATAAAAGGAAAAACATATTCCTTGCCCTTTATTTCCTTTTGTATTCTATAGGTCTCTCTTACAAGGAAAAGATTCGTGTTAGAGGAGCAACAGTAAAACATACTGAATTTGAACAGTTTTTATTGTTCAATGAAAGTTGTCACCCTAGTAACATGAAGGATATCCCTGATGCCAAGGTCTATTCAGTTATATGGAAGGCGTTGTTTCATATTTTATTTAGTACTTTTTTTTAACAGCTAACCTTCCATCACCCATCCCAAGCTTCCACCTTGCAAATGTTCCGCATCTTCCATTATGCCTGGGGAACACTTTTCATAAGCAACAAGATCTCTAAATCCTTAACTTCATGCTCTTAGAGACTTTCTTCAAATCCTTACCTTAAGTAAAGCTGAGTCAGATTTTACAGTTCTTTAAAGGAGAGACTGACCCACATGTCTTCAATAAGTGCCACTTGATGTGCCTTCATGTGATATTCACTTATATGATCGGTCCTCTCAGGACGGCCTCCTAATTATTGCTCTATACTGACCTGGACGTCTTCCCACTGTTGTCTGAATTTGTAAGCTGACCGCCATACTGTGGAGCCCTGGAGCAGTTACTAAGTTTTTTCATCTTAAAATAGAAATATTAGCTCATACTTAGAGGGTTTTTGCTCGTTAGTTAGTTTCCCTAATACCTAGCATAGTACACGCCAATTAGGTAAATATTTGTTGAATGAATGAAAGAATAATGGCATCTAGCTGCTTGACAATTGGCTCCAGAGGAAGAAAGCATGTGGCTGTCCTGGCTACGTGACACTGGAGGGAAGAGGGTACAAACAAAACACAAGTCTAACTTAAAACGCATCCTTTAGCATTTTATCAATTATTTGTAGTAAGTGTATGAATGCAATAACCTATGTTGTATACCTGATGTTATTTTGAGAAATTAGCCCTATATTTATTAATTATCTGAATGCTCACATGTCGTTTTTAAATTACAAAGCATTTTAAGAAAACATTTAAAGTTCTTAACAAGGAAAATAGTAAATGGGAGAAAGAAATAGGCAAAATAAAAAGACAAGATATTTTAAAATATTACCTATAATTTAATGTCTTTCTTGATGAAATAATAATAAAGTAACCTTACTACTTGAAAAGCTATTTTAAAAATCTGGGTATAATTTTGCTGTTATTTATGTCAAGAAATTATGTTATAATTCTGAATCTTTTCTTTAAGATCTATTCTAGTCGAGAACTCGAAGAAACACTAAATAAAATCAGGGAAATTTTGTCAGATGACAAACATGATTGGGATCAGCGTGCCAATGCAGTAAGTTTATTATTATTTTTTCTTATTTTGTCTTTTTTGCCAATGCTTATTTTTTCAACATTTTTTATAATACAGAAATTCATTAATAGTAGTCTCTGATGTCCAGTTATGAAAAAGTCTATTGAGTGAGATGTCTTTCTGAAAAGCATATGGAAACAATACAGGATATAAGATGGCCTAGCATTTTCTGATTGAGGGTCAGATTTTTTTGTAATGATTTATTGTATTTTTATTGTTGTTGCAAGAGTACACCGCAGCACATACACCGATTCATCCGTGTCTACACGGACAGCTCAGTGACATGGATTGCGTTCTGTGAGCTCTGCGGCCATGCTCACCCTCCTTTTTGAAGTCGTTCTTCCCCTGTTAACGTCCACTCAGCGTCTCCGAAGGGTCCTCCCAGTCTTTCAAGTTGCTGTTGTCAGTTTGATCTCACAGTCCATTCTCATTCTGGTCTTGCTGACCAGATAGAAGCCATCCATCCCCTTGTTCGCCTCTGTATCAAAACCAAAAATTCAAATTCATTGCCACCCACTCGATTCCAACTGATGACCGCGTGCATTAGAACTGTACTGTGCACTTTACTTGATGATAATCTTTATGAAAACAGATCTGCAGGCATTTTTTCCCATAGTGCTGTTGGGTGGGCTTGAATCGCCAGCTTTTTAATAATCGCGCACTAACCATGGCACAGCGAGGACTTAGCCTTTTCATTTTCCTTGTGGACCCTGAAAGTGCACGACCTCCATGGGGCTGTTGCGTTGTCATCCATCAGGGCTTCCCCACATTCCTGTGATCAGGATGGCCAGTGGAGCAGTGCACATTGCCTCTGGGAGTTGAATATTAGTATTAATATAAGTTCACAGTAGCTTGAAGTCTTAGCTTTTGTGGTACATATTTCTCACTTGTTACAGAAAAAAATAGAAAATCTGGCCCTTGAATTAAGAATGCTTATATTTAGCCTAAATTCCTCAAGGAAAACACTTCAGGAAATTTAAAAAAAAATTCATTTGCAAAAGGATTATTTTAAAATCTGTGAGTTTGACAAATTTACATGTAAATTTCCAAGTGAGTATCAGAATCCCCAAGACCCTAGAAAATGGGTTTCATTTGAAACCTCCCGAATTGAGCTGACTGAATATTGCCATGTTGATGAATAAAATTGGAATGGCCTTTGACACCGTGGTCAGTTTTCCTCTTCCGTTTGTTACGTCTACGTATCTTAAAATGTAAAATTCCTGCTTTTAACAGGGAATTTGTTGCTCCTATTTGTTAAATATAACTTGTCAGTCTTCATTTAGTTCTGAGACTAGTCTGATACAGACTTTTGTTGCTGGTGATCTGTGGAGATTCTTGACATCTTGAATGTTGTCAGTTATAACTTGGACTTTGTGCTTGAGGCTTTAGGTTTTATTTTGAAATTACCTGTTTGGAAACAGCTGATGGACTTTTAATCCTTTTTTTTTTTTTAATTAGAAAAATGGCCCTGGCTCATTGCATTAAATGGAATTTCAGAAGATTATAAAACGAAAAAATAATATTTATTCCTATTAAGAAAATAACGGAGCACTAGTGGCACAGCCAAGTAAACATCGGGCTGCTGACAGAAAGGTCCACAGCTCAAACCCACTAGGCATGCTGTAGGAGAAAGAGGAGACCACCTGCCCTGTAAAAGTTTACAGCCTCAGAAACCTCTTATAGGGTCACTATGAGTCAGAATCAATTCGATGGCAGTGGAATTGGCTCTTTTTTCCTGCGCAAAAAGGAAATAAAGAGCTTGGTCTGGTGCATTGAGTTCCCTCCAGGCTGCTAACAAGTCCACCTGCCCCTCTGCAACAGAAAGGTGATGCCGTCTGCTTCCATAAAGATGTAAAGTCTTGGAAACCTAAGGAACTGTATGACCCTGTCTTTGTGGGGTCTTTATGAGTTAGAACAGGCTCACCTGCAGTGGGCTTCATTTGGTTTAAGTAAATAAATGCTTTCATTTTTAAATAGATCCTTTTTGAGGTATATGTACTCTAACATAAATAAATACATAAACAGTTCTCCCCCCCCCCACCCTCTTTATAACAACAGATGGGATCTTACTGGATACATTACTTAGTAACGTGCTTCTTTTCACTTAACAAATCATGCCTACTCAGTATACCTTAAAAGGTAAGCTATCAGGCATGTAGTAACTACCAAACTATTTACATCAAGTTTATTCTGACTCACAGAGACTCTTTACAGGAGCAGATAGTCTTGTCTTTGGAGAGGCTGGTGGATTCAAAATGCTGACCTTGCATTTAGCAGCCCAATGTGTAACCACAATGCCACCAGGGTTCCTTCGTTCCTTTTGGGGGTAGGGGAAAAAAAATGCCGCTGCCATATAATATTTGTACATCATCCCCTTACAGAAGGGTCACAAGGAAGAGACGAGCCAGTCAGCGTACAGTATAGCACCCATAAAACATAGAGCTGTCTTCTAGTTCTTGAATGCTCTCTAACCCCCACTATCTTGACCGCAATTCTACCTTACAAATCCGGCTAGACCAAAGCATGTACACTGGTACAGATAAGAGCTGGAAACAGAATCCAGGACAGGTAAACCCCTCAGGACCAATAATGAGAGTAGCGATACCAAGAGGGTAAGGGTAAGGTGTGTGTGAATGGGGAACCAATCACAATGATCTATATATAACCCCCTCCCAGGGGGGCGAACAACAGAAAAGTGGGTGAAGGGAGACATAGGTCGGTGTAAGACATGGAGGGAAAATAAATTGTAAATTATCAAGGGTGCATGGTGGAGGGATAAAAATGACCTGATACTAAGGGCTGAAGTAGAAAGAAAATGTTTTGAAAATGATGATGGCAACATGTGTACAAATGTGCTTGACACAATGGATGGATGTATGGATTGTGATATGAGCTGTACGAGCCCCCAATAAAATGATTTAAAAAAATAGAGTAAAGTACTAGACTAACAGTTCCTTAGGGTTATGACAGAGGAGGTTGTGGTGGTGGGAGAATGGAAAATTAATAATAATGAGTTCAAGAATAAAGATTATATTCAAAAATTAAAAAACAAACTTGTCTTCTTATTGAATGCAGGTGAGCATGTGCCTGTAGTCTGTAGTTCAAAGGTAATGTGTCAATTATTAAGTCATTTCCTTTTTAGTTGGTCTTTTATGGGAGTTTTGTTTTCTATTTTTTAAATGTTGCAGCACGTTTCCTAGTGTACATTTGTAACAATTGTGTTTATTTTTTTAGATTAGATTTTAAAATGTGGGTTGTAGGTTAAAGCATAAATGCGATTTTGTTTTACTGCCAAAATATTTCAGCAAAGCTCTGAGTCATTCATAATCTTGCTTACATTGTTTGAGAGATTTTTTGTTTGGTTGGTTTTTGCTAATATTGGATACTACAAGTCTTTAACTTTTTCCAATCTGATGCGGGGCAGGGATGATATATCATTATTGTAACTTGTATTTGTAGATCTGCCAGTAAAATTGATCACATTTTCATATTTCTTTTGCCCAATTTAAAGTTAACCTTATTCATATGCCTTCTAGAATTTTTGTCTTTTTAATGTTTTCTCATTCCTGTATAAACCAAACCCACTGCCCTCTGATCCATTCTTTTTTTTTTTTTGTATAAGAAAGAGCTTTATATACATGAGCAATTGAATAGTGATAAAACATCCCAACCCAGTCCAGATCAAGTTCATAAGTCCGTTATCAGCCCATATGTTCTCTTCAGACTCACGAAGCACATGCAATAACGCTAAATGCAGGACGATCACAGGCCAGTGGGTAGGAAGTCTTGTGGATCCAGTGTGGGTAGAGGCATCTCAGTGCTGGCAGGGGTCTCCACATGGTAACTCCAGCTCAGAGCACTAGTGTAGTTCCATGTGTCTTGTCACTTACATTGTCTCTCTGGAAGTGAGCTGAGGGAGAGTGCATCCCACTGCCAAGGAGGAAATACAGGAGTTCCCAGAATCCTCAGGAGAAGGCCATGTCCACACAGAGGCCTCATTGGCTATATCTGGACTGACAGTCTAGACTCCACCCGTATACTCATCCTCAAATTGACACCACATTATGTAACTACCACAATGATCAAACACAATCAAGATATATTGATAATTATTGGTCAATAAAATGCAAAAGTTGGAAACAGGAAGAAACAGTAGCTGGAAAATACAGACTTGGTGATAGAAATGAAGCTGGGAACTCAGGATAGAATTTTACAAGTCCAATGACCTTGTTCGTAGCAAATACCTATTTTTGAACAACACAAAGAGCTATCTGTGCACATGGATTTCTCCAGATGGAATATACAGAAATCAAATTGACTGCATCTGTGGAAAAAGATAATTGAGAAGCTCAATATCGGCCAGGGTCTGACTAAAGCTAAAACCAGGACAGGGGCTGGCAGTAGAACCAGCTATCAATTGATCAATATGTAAGTTCGTGTTAAAGCTGAAGAAAATTAAAACAAGTCCATGAGGTCCAAAATACAGCTCTGAGTGACCCTGTAGGACACAGTCTAACTGCCCTGAAGAATTTCCAAAGCTGTAGGTGTTTACTGAAGCAGACTGCCTCATCTTTCTCAGTTGGTGAGTGCTTAACCATTGTGCCACCATGACTCTGTGTCTCTCCTATACCCCAAAGTTACATAAATATTATTCATTCCAATTTGTTCATAGTATTTACAGCATGTTGTTTTTATTCTTACATGTTTTAGGAAATTAAAGTTTTAGGAAACCTCATGATATTAATGTAAATTTGTACCTGATAATGATTTTTATAGACAAATTTTAGCACAGATACTTTTGTGTGGGCACAGATACTTTTGTGCGTCTTTTTTGATTAATGTAATTTTATTATGTATATATGATATTTATGTGAAGAATATTTGGTACTCCTGCACGAAAAAGTAATGCTGAGGGTATGCATCGAGAGCACTATTTGTTTCACAAATTGAGTCTGATCATGCTTAAGCATAGACATGCTGATTGTTTAATTCTTAGTCTTAAAGTTCGAGTCTTACTTTGAGTTTGTACTGATGCTTCTGGATGAATATGGTGTACAAATTTGGCCACCTAAAATTAGTTTCCCATGCTAGATAGTGGTAATTGTTGCATGGCATTGTACGTATACTTAATGGGACCTAACTGTATACTTAAAATTTTTTACAATGGTAAGTTTATGTTGCATGTGTTTTACCACAGTAAAATGACCTCCTTAAAACTGTAAAGTGTACTTATCTACTTATGTACTCCATCTATCATTGTGCAGGTGAGTAATCTGCAATCTTCTTTTCCGGAAGGCTCTTCTCCTGTTAGTTTAAGTTATTTATATGACGTATCTAGTGCTACTAAATGTCTGAAACCATTAGATGTGTTTAATTTAATTTTAAAATTTTGCTTAGGTTGCTTATCTTCATCCTCCTTGTGCAGTGCCACCTTTTATGTCAATCATGAAAATTCGCTCTGTTGTAGCTTAAGAAAATTCGGTCATTGCTCGTTGCTGGAGCTGCACAGTATGATTGCTTCTTCCAACATCTGCGCTTATTGGATGGTGCCCTGAAACTTTCAGCGAAGGATCTTCGGTCCCAGGTGGTTAGAGAAGCTTGCATCACCGTAGCGTAAGTGTCTTCTTTGTGAGATGCTCATCTTTTCTGGATGTATTTAGTACTCGGATCAGTTCAGTGGTCAATAAGTACAGCAGCAGCAAAATCACCCTAAAAAGCTTGCGTATGATCCTGAAATCACGTTATTATTCAAAAATTATTTTTAAAGTGGGCTTGTTGAGCAAAGAGTAGGTATGATTTTATTTTAGTAAGTGTTGCCAAAATATTTTCATACAAAGATGTTAGTCATCTCTTTCAACAGTTCTTAATGCCAGCCTTCAAATGTGTTTATTTTTCCAAAACCTACTGGTGGAGCTCTAATCGTCAAACCTCACAAGTATAAGAAAACGAATGTCTCTGAGAGCTTTAGATATTTCACGTTCTCTTCATGAGCTGGGCTGTTAAACACTTTACTTTTGGTATTTTAGCAATTATCTAGAATTGTACTGTGCATCTTTAACTTGCCAAATCTAAATTTTCTCTGTACCTTTGTAGTCTTCCATTATACAATAAAAGAACACTTAAATTCTCACTCCCAAACTAAACATTGTTATATGAGCAGAACTTTTAAGATAATGAGCAAATTAAAAGTGTTCACTATCAATTTTTAATCAAGATTTTAGAAGGCCAGGCTTCAAAAAATTTGTGTAAAAATTCTATTTCTCCCCCCTTCCCCGAGGGGGATGAATAACAGAAACGAGTGAAGGGAGACAGCAGATCATGTAAGATATGAAAATAATACTGGACAGGTAATTAAAAGATAACATCCAGGTACCATGTGTCAATTTAGCACATGACAAATTATGTACTTTAATAGATAAAGACTTTAAAACATTATTGGCACGTTGATTCATTGCCACCCCTATCAAAGGTCCAACAAGTTTTTTAATAAATTAACAAACAGATTCAGACAACCCAATTTGAAGACTTATTATGGAGGTTAATACCACCATCGCTGGGGTTATGTATGAGACCTCTGCCTAGAATAGAAGCATACAATTCATAATTTTAACCTTGCTTTAATGCAAAAGGGAGAAACATGGGGTTTCTACTCCCATAAAAGAGTTACAGCTTGTGTTTGCTTCGGCAGCACATATACTAAAATTGGAACAATACAACGAAGATTAGCACAGCCCCCGAGCAAGGAAGACATGCAAATTCGTGAAGCGTCCCATAGTTTAAAAAAGAGAGAGAGATTTAAAGAAAAAAAAAGAAGAGCTACAGCCTCTGTAGCACTGAGGAAACATACAGCTTTCCTCTGGTTCCTTAAGGCTTCCTCCCCCTACTATCATGACCCTAATTCTACCTTACAAATCTGGCTAGACCAGAGCGTGTACATGGATACAAGCTTAAAACACAGGGAATGTAGGACAGATAAACCCCTCGGGACCAATATTGAGAGTGACCATACCAGGAGGGTAAGAAGGAGGTGGGGGGAGAAAGGGAGAACAGATCACAATGACCTACCTATAATCCCCTCCTAGGGGGATGGACAGCAGACAAAGTGATGGGGAGAGACATTGGACAGCGCAAGACATGAAAAAATAAATTATCAAGGGTCCATGAGGGAGGGGAAAAAATGAGGAGCCTATATCAAGGACTAAAGTAGAAAGAAATGCTTTGAAAACGATGCTGGCAACATATGTACAAATGTGATTTGAGATAATGGATGTATGTATGGATTGTGATAAGAGTTGTATGAGCCCCCGATAAAGTGATTTTTTTAAAAAAAGTTACAGCCTCGGAAACTCACAGGCACATTTAGTTCTACCCTCTCCTATAGGATCGCTATGAGTTGGTATCGACTCCATAGTCGGTACACGTTGGGCTGCAATTTGTTGTTAGTAAGGATGGTCCTGTCTATTCAAAGTTAGGACAGATTTACGCAACATTAAAGCAGGAATTAAAAAATGACAACGCCTCGTTCAGAGATGGTGTTTGAGCTGCTTTGGATATGTGCGTCCTTTTACTGTCCTACCAGTCATCCACTCACACATTAGACGTTTGAAAGAACTCACGGTCCTTCAGCGTCTTCCATCCTAGGGCCTTGACTCTTCATTTTTCCTGTTCTGTTTGTGCCAAATCACCCACGTTGTAAAATGTGGTCCATTCCTGTTCTGCTTTATTGGCCATGACAGAACTGGTTAGATCCTGCATTAAAGGGCAGGGAGGAATTGACTGTCAGACGTTCATTACTTGGGAACTAACTACCAAAACCCCAAACTCACTGCCATTTAGTCGATGCTGACTCATAGCGACCCTACAGGACGGAATAGAAGTGCCCCTCTGAGTTTCTGAGACTGCAGCTGTGTATGGGAGTAGAAAGCCCGTCTTACCCCCAAGGAGCGGCTCATGGTATCATATTGCTCACTTTTTGGAACAACTTGGATTACCTGGGGACTACCTGTATGCTATTGAAATGAACGCAGACATCTAGTTCAGGTGAACCAAATCTAGAAATAAATCTGTACATATGTGGTTTGTAGTATTATGTAAGGGGGGTGCCCCCCACCACTAACCTCGGGTTCAGTAAGCACAATTGAGATATATAAATATTATATTAAAGTCATCCAGAGCATGAGCGATAGAAAAGATATTACAATAATGCAGTCAGACACATTACATGGTAACATTGCTCACCTCAGCCTTGCTGGTGACCCACTTGGAGAGAGTGGGGAGGGAAGGAGGATGGGAAAGGGAACAAGGGAGAGGGGCAAGAGAGAGCAGCGAGTGAGCGCTCTTTATTGCTAACCCAGGCCTATATACCTTTTGGGGGCGTGCAAGCCCACTAATTACAGGTAAAGTCATATGTCACAGGAAGGAGTTGCACTATAGGTTATACAGCAGTGAGAGGGTGTGGTCTAAGGACATCCACGCAATTGGAAGAGGAGGGATTGGGGGTGTACATGTGGCAAGATGGGCGAATCCTAGATATAGGATGGCAGCCTAACTTTGGATGTCACAAAGCCTGCTTGACCTGTTCCTGGCTCAACTGATAGAGACTTTTATCAGTAGGGTGTGAACTCCACCTACAGGAACCAAATAGATGACTGCAGGCCTGTTCATTCTCTTTAACAGCAGGGAGTCAGGCCCACTACAGTCTGGCACCTTCAGGGAGGATGCCTGAGCATCTGACCTCCCCCCACAGTGGTTAATAAGTTTTGACAAAAAACCAGAGTAATTTAGTTGAGTAAGACAAGTCTTTTCAGAAATGTTGTTAGAACAATTTAATATGCATAGGTGGGTGGGAGAGTAACCTCTGCCTTACATTATAGCATGCACAAAAAGTAGCTTGAAATACATCACAGACCTAAAGATAAAAGTTTAAACACTATAAAACTTGTAGAATAACACATAATAGAAAATCTTCACAATTTTTAATTAAGGTGTAGATGTTTTAAGCTAGGACTCTGAACACACACTAACCCCGAAAGAAAATAGAAAATGGATAAATTAGGCTTCATCAAAATTAAAGATTTTTGCTTTTCAAACAAATGGTATGTAGAGAAAAATATATATTTTTAGGAATATTTAAAACAAGATGTGTTAATGTTTGTACTTATTCTCTTTTGCTTTCTGTCAATATAGATAATTACAATAAAAATTCGTGAACTAATTCCTTAAAAATTATTTAAAATTTTTATGATCCTATCTATATTTAGTGTTAAACTACTTTTATTTATATATATATACATATATATATATATATATTTATTTTATACTTCTTTTGTAGCCATCTTTCAACAGTTTTGGGAAACAAGTTTGATCACGGCGCTGAAGCTATTGTACCTACGCTTTTCAATCTCGTCCCCAATAGTGCAAAAGTCATGGCAACATCTGGGTGTGCAGCAATTAGATTCATCATTCGGGTAAGCTCTTGCCCTTCCTTTCTTCTTTTTCTGTAGATGGACTGAGTCCCTAAGGCACCCTGTGGGGCTGTGAGTTAGGCATTGTACTGCTAAACAACATTGGTGGTGCAAACCCCCAAGGGAAAGTGATGAGACTGTGTGCTCCAGAGAAACCCATTTATGGTCCTCATGAGACAGAATCAACTCAATGGAAGTAGGTTTAAGTAATTCACCATGAGCCCTGTTAAACACCCAGCTGGCAAGTAAGTGGTTGGCGGTTTGAACCCAATGCTGGAGAAAGATGTGTCATTGTTTCTATCAAGCTTTACACACTGGGAAACCCAGTAGTTCCACTTTGTAGTTCTACTCTGTCCAGTAGTGTCTCTGTGAGTCAGAATCTGCTTGATGACAGTGAGAGATGGTGGTAAATAAACCACTAGAAATTTTATTTTTTAACCCCTAAAGGACAAGAGCTGTTTAATTTTCTTCCCGATAATTAAAGTAGTACACGCTCAATATAGAACATTTAAGTAATACAGAAGATTTTAAAGTAACATGCTTCTATAATTTAATACATTTTTACATTATTGATAAATGCATGTATAAATGAGGACCCCTGGTAATATAGTGCAGTAGCTCTCAACCTGAGGGTCGTGACCCCTTTGAGGGGGGGTGTTAAATGACCCTTTCACAGGGGTCGCCCAATTCATAACTAGCAAAATTACAGTTATGAAGTAGCAACGAAAATAATTTTATGGAGGGAGAGGGCAGCGGGGGAGGGAAGGGAAAAATGAGCAGATACCAAGGGCTTGAGTAGAAAGCATATGTTTTGATAATGATGATGGCAACAAATGTGCTTGACACAATGGATGGATATATGGATTGTGATGAGTTGTACGAGCCCCAATAAAATGATTAAAGAAAATTTTTAAAAATAATAATTAAAAAAGAAAATAATTTTATGATTGGGGGGTCACCACAACATGAGGAACTGTATTAGAGGGCCACGGCATTAAGAAGTTTGAGAACCACTGATATAGTGGGTTATATGTTGGATTGCTAATAACATAGCCAGCAGTTCAAGTTTATCAACTGATCAGAAGGAGAAAATGAACTTTTCTTCTCCCGTAAAGATTTATAGTCTCAGAAACCCACAGGGGCAGTTCCACTTTGTCCTGTAGGGTTGTATGAGTGGATTTGACTCAATGGAAGTAAGGTTGGGTTTTTTATTTATTGGCTTGCTTATATGTATCTACCTATACACATGTGTATAAAAGCACAGGTGTTACAGATAATAATGAAAGACGGCAGGCACATTTTAAATATATCTTATTGTATTTATCTTGAACATGCCCAAAAGAACAAACTTAAAAAATGAATCTTCCCCACCTTTCAGTGTTCTCCTCTACAATGTCTGTAGCCTGATAGTGTATACTAGAGTTTTAGTTATCGTGTGGCATGAGTTTATTCCAAAGTGTGTTTAAAGATGTCCCTGTAATCAGTGGATGCTGCAGATAAGTTCTCTTAGTAATACACTTATCACAGTTTGAGTACATTTTGTTTGTTTGTTTATTTTTGGCGAGTCCGCCAGGACGCGAAGAGTTAGAGTGCATTTGAATGCCTTCACAAAATAGTCCAGCCAAACAGTAACTTGCAGGGTGATCTGTGGGTCAGTTCACTTCCAAGCAGAGAAGTCAACTCAAAAAGCTATGGTAATTTCTGATTTTGAGGATTCCAAAGAGATAATCGTCGTAGATTTTCTGGAAGGACACGGCCAAATCATGGAGCCTTATTAGGAAGAAGTTCTACAAAACTGCAAACTGTACTGGTGTGGAAAAGACCAGGACAACTGGACTGAGCAAGTTTGTCCCATCAGGACCATGCACCTCTTGCTCATTCTTTGAGGATAGCAACAACAGTCCTATGAGATTTACATTGGGGAATCTTACTCCATCTACCTTGTAGCCCTGATTTGTCTCCTTCAGACTTCTCACCCCACCCCGCACCAAAATCTCAAACATTGGAATAAACATTATTTCAGTCCCTCAAAGATGGAAATTCAGCCATTTGATGAGGCTTAATCAAAGTTTGCAGAATTCTCTTGGTTAGGGTGAGAGAGATGGAAGCACTACCTTCAGAAGTGTATAGACCTATATGGAGGACATTGAAATAAAGGATATATTGAGAATAATAACTTTATAAATGATTTTGTAGCAATACTTTTTGGCAATGTAACAATCAGTTTTTTTTTTCCTTTGAAGCTATATTATAATTACTCAATTACTTTACCTTGGTAAAACATTATTCTAGACTGCCTTTGATTTCTTTCTGAATGTGATTCTATGCTCTTACTGCCCTGTTCTAAGTTAAATATTTGAATGTGAGGCAGGATTTTGTGAAAATCATATCTTCCAACATTTTAAAAAATATCTTTTTCAGCATACTCATGTACCAAGACTCATACCTTTAATAACAAGCAATTGTACATCAAAATCAGTTCCTGTAAGGAGGTAAGTTCTGGTCCGGAAAAAAATTTTTTTTAAATATAATTATAATTTTGCATTGCCTTTTAAAAAAATATAATTATAATGTTGCATTGCCTTTCATTTTTAATCTGGTGCAATTTGTCACTAATTTCTTGCTTTCCAAAACCATAATACAATTTGCGTATTATGTAAGTGAAAACACAAGAATAGACTATAATGATTAATTATTTTATTTTGTCTTCTTATGTTGAGGAAAATAACTGGCGAAATAGTAATATATCAAAGTGCGAGTCAGGAAATGCATCATAAGATTGCTCTGAAAACGGGGAGAAATGATTGAAATAAGTACAGGAGCAAGATGTAGGGAAAGGAGAGGGGTACAATAACCTAAGTGGAGATGGATAGCTATGTTGCATGCTACAGAGACTTTCAGAGCCCCAAGGGAGGGAGCACGGGGAAGATTTTTAGCAAGAAAAGGGGCTAATTGATGTCAGAATGTGAAAAACTTTGAACAGCAATCAGAGGAATTCTGGCATTTATGGGAGCCTTTGACAGTTGTTAAGTTTTAGTGATAACATCATCCAATCTGGGTTTTATTGTAGTTTTTAAGGACCAGTGGGGGAGATTAGTTTAATTTTTTTTAAAAAAACTGTTTGAACTCAGGTAAGACAGAGACCAGAGTCTGCACTAGAGCTGCAATGATAGCTGAAGGAGATGAAGTTATTTAAGGTGTTGGCACAAAGTTTGACAACTAGGTATGAATGAGGGAGGCTGTGTCAAGTGCTTGGGGCTGAATTCTGAGTCACTCCATTACTTTGTCTGGTCTCAGACAAGTTCTACTGTTTCTCTTTTCCGAATATGTATAGAATAATGAACTGAAAGGGTGGCCAATGGGTAATTACGGTCAAGTCTCATTGTTTGTTCTCTCGGTTTGCAGACTCACTCCCCCCTCCCCCCCACCAACTTTTTCCTGTAAAATCAGCGCTCTTCAGTATGCCTTTGGGGTTATTTGTAGGCATGTGCTGTAGAGTTTGAGTTGTCCAAAGTGGACTTCCCCGTGGACACTGAGTACAGCAGCACTCTCCCTTCTTGTTTCACGGCGCTTCTTCAAATCATGTGTCCTTGCCATAGTTTGCTTAGTGCCACATATTCTGTGCTTTTTGGGGGGCAGTTTTATTGCTTTAAATCCCTCCACTCCTAAGTATAATGTTGAAATGTGTGTTGTCTAGTGTTTTTAAGTATAATTCACAATAAAAGGTCCTGGTCAAAGTGGAAGCAAAATGTAGAAGGAAATTTGAAAATCTTAAGAAAGCCCATACTGCAATGAATGTACAAATGTGCTTTACACAATTGATGTATGTATGGATTGTGATAAGAGTTATATGAGCCCCTAATAAAATGATTAAAAAAAAAAAAAGAAAGCCCATACTTACTAGTCTGATAAAGAGATTGGTGGACACCCAAAACTGTGCGCCTTAGACATCATCAAACTGGGAACTAAACCCATTCCTGAAGATCACCTTTCAGCCCAAGAATAGTTATTTTTAAAGCACAGACAGCTGAGTTAGTCAATTACCAAAGGGCAAATGTTGTATGAAATCACTGCTATAACGAAAAACACCAAGACAAAGGCAGGCATCTGTTCTCAGGCCATAAAATTTTCTAATTCGGAATTCCAAGCAACGAGGTGGTCTGCCTGCTTAATGCTCTTGATCTATATATCACCCTCTTGTTTGTACATCTTAAAAATTACTTTGATAGAGGAGGTCTCACTTTAGGTCAGCTTCTCTTCCTAGGGGAAGAGGGAGAAGACCATTCAGTTCCTTATCATAGAGCACTATTCTGCAGTCACCCCAAGTCAACACTACAAGGTTGCTCAGTGAACCTTAATGGGAATTCAAGTCTAAAAATGGGGGAAAGGGTGGAAGGCTTGGGTCATATCTGTCTCGAAGAAGGTGATGTTGCTTCTGTTGGTAGGTAAACCAGGTGTGGCAACCTGCCATTGGGGGAAACACAACATTACTTATATAGACCTTCAAGGGGAACATACACCAGTATTATGTTCACAATTGAGCACTTCTGACCTAGTTTCTGTCTAGCCCTTGGTGACCCAGGCCATGTGCTACAAACAACCAGGACTGTGGACTCTGCCCTTTCAAGAAATACAGCATCCCTCATGCACCACATCAGGGGGATCCAAATTGCATTGAGTAAACTGAACTTTACCATGTTTTAAACACACCTGTAGCAAATTAAAGGAACTGAAATGCTCCCTTGGGCTTAAAATGGAAACGTCCTATAGCAGAGGTTCTCAATCTGTGGGTCGTGACCCCTTTGGGGGTCAACAACCCTTTACAGGGGCTGCCCAATTCATAACAGCAAAATTACAGTTATGAAGTAGCAATGAATATTATTTTATGGTTGGTGGGGCTCACCACAACATGAGGAACTGTATTAAAGGATTGCAGCAATTGCAAGGTTGAGAACCACTACCCTACAGTGAGAAGCAGATGACTACTATCCCATTGTTTAATGTTAAATATTATAAATTTTATACAAAAATATAGCATCACAGTTTCATTTATAAGTTAATGTATAATTATGTTGTTCTTTAATAAATAAGTTATTTTTTAAAGAAAATGTGAGGTTTCCTTCATGAGTCTATTTGATACGTGTCCTTGAGACAGGTATATAAGAAATGTGTGTAAACCCAGTGTTGAAATTATGAGGAACTCTTAGAGTATTTTTGAACAATTTATCATCAGAATAGTTGGAAAATTTTCGTTAGGAGGTTTTTCACCTGTTACAATACCTGAGAAACCTTGTATTGTAGTTCAGGTGACAAAATGCAATATCATTGAAGAAGGTATCAATACAGTTCTTAACGTATTATTCACTTATAATCTGCCTTTTGTTTTTCAGACGTTCATTTGAATTTTTAGATTTATTATTACAAGAGTGGCAGACTCATTCATTGGAAAGGTAGGCATGACCTGTTCTTCTCTGTAGACGTCACCGGCATGGATTTGACAGTACTTCACACTTCAAACATTACTTGTGTTAGTTCTTTTTTAAAGATGTAGTGTTGTACTTCTCTTAATCATTGCAGCTGTGAATATATACTTTTCTCCCCCTGTTTTGTAGGGTGGATAAGAGTATTTTAAGTAAAGTAAGATAGTTAAGATACTGCCTCGTAAAATTGGGCAAAATATTTTTAAATTTCTCTCTAGTCATATGAGATACGTTTTCTGAAGGAAAATCAATCTTGCAAAGAATTATTTTAATAAGGAAAGAAGAAGCATCCTTTCAGAGGAATATTATAAGGCACTTCGTGGTTAGTTTCTCGCTTTCAGGCTTCATTGATCAAGTATATACTGACATGTTTAATGCAGCTCTGAGATGAACAAAAGGCAAAAGGTGAGCAGCCGCAGGTCACCGGCTAGTTGGATGGCTGTATTTCTCAGTAGGTTTGAGCATGAAGCTTGGAAGCACCTGTATTTCACTGGGTACATAGCTGATTTTCCGTTTTTATGGACACCTTTAAGTCATATTATCCTGTTCAAACCTATTCTTTAAAAATAGAATTTTTTATTTAATGTAAGCATATGATTTCAAGTTTTATTTCAACTCTTTTGTGATTGATGCTCTTTAGTTTAGTAAGCTCATAAGCACTATACTCTTAAATTGTTTTCTGCAGTGAGTAGAGTTCTGATAAACCATGTAGAAAGTATTTATTTATTTATTTTTAATTAAAATGTGAAATTTGAGTACTGTATTTTAATACAGTATCTGGATTCCATATAAAACATTTTTTCACACTTACAGTGAATGAATTATTAGAAAGAAACCATGCATGAATAGGATATATATGGGACGAATTCTTAGAATAATCCAGCTGTCTTGGATTTATTATAATGCACTAAATAAACTTTGTGCTTCCTTTGCCCCCTTAAAGGCCCATCTTACAGGCAGTATTATGTGGTGAAAATATATCTTGCCACATGAATCTAATCATGTGTTTATTGTACAGACATGCAGCTGTCTTAGTTGAAACCATTAAGAAGGGAATTCATGATGCTGATGCTGAAGCCAGAGTGGAGGCAAGAAAGTAAGTTTATATCATATATTTTGTGACACTTTTAACATTCTTTCATTTAAAGGAATCATATTGTGAGAATAAGAATATCAGATGTATCCCAAGTTTTCTAATTCACTCACTTGTAATAAAATTGAGATTGATTTTTCTCCAATCTGCACCTGGGAGAGAATCTGCACCAATGCCATAACTTGACAGACTTTCCATATTCTGTGACATACGGAACTTCATGGATGCTATTTTCTGATCCTTACAAGGATTCTGCAAAATTGGCATTCCCTCTGTGGATGGTAGCTGAGGTTTGGAGATTGTGCTGCTCTCCCAAGGCCGTATGCAGTGTGAGCAGCACAGCCCACCACGGTGTGAACTGAAGTCCCCTTTTGAGGGCCTGTAGCACACATAGGAGCTGTATTTAAAACTTGTGTGTTTGCCCCTACTCTTCTTGATTGCACACACTTTTCCTGGTTAATGTCTAACCATGGAGGCTGCTGCATCATATCCCTTATTTGCCCTTCATTTTCTTTTTGTTTTGCAGGACGTATATGGGTCTTAGAAACCACTTTCCTGGTGAAGCTGAGACTTTGTATAATTCCCTTGAGCCGTCTTATCAGAAGAGTCTTCAAACTTACTTAAAGAGTTCTGGCAGCGTGACATCTCTTCCTCAATCTGACAGGTCCTCATCTAGCTCACAGGAAAGTCTCAAGTAAGGTTCACATATGTCATCATTACTGATTCTTTACCTCTGCCCTTCAAAGTTACTGAACTTGTTGAATCAATTCCAATCCATATTAAGGATAGTACTCAGCTACTAGCCAGAAGATTAGTAGTTCAAACTCACTCAGAGGAGCCTCAGAAGATAGGCTGAGTAGCATTTTGCTTCTGAGAGGTCACAGTCTTGAGAGCCCTGTGGTACACCTCTACTCCACACGTAATGGGGTCACCAGGAGTACTTATGGGGAGTGGTTGAATATCTGCTTGCTTTGGCTTAAAGCTTAAAAGGTGTTGATTTAAGTGTACTTGATTTCTTTGGTCTGTTTTCTCAAGGAAGGTTAGTTGCTAGTGTAGCTCTATATGTTCCTATCTGTAAAAAAGAATGAAAAGCACTGATTTTTATGTGTATATATTTATATATACGTAAATGTATTTTAATTTAAATATATATTACATCTCTTTAGATATGTTCATATTATATCTAAATTATATATATAGTTTATATGTCTTCTATATATACATATTTAAATGTATTAAATATTATACAGATATTAAGTAACCTATTTTAGGGAATAGTCGTGGAAATCCAGGAATCATCTTCAGAGTTCTTATACAAAGCACTATGACTAATGAAATCCCTACTGCTTTTCTTTCTCACCTCTTACCGAGTTTCAAATTCAACAAATCCCTCAAGGGAACAAGATTATCTAGTATTTAACTCACCTCCCTATAACTACGTGGAATATTATGGTTGGAGAAATGGTGGAGGCTACATTTGACCTCCTCTAACTATACAAAGAGGTAGGAGATTGCAACTCCGCATCTGCCCGAGTACTATTCTAAGACTTTCATATACACATATTGCTATACTGTATATAGCAATTACTTTGTTAAAACCATATCAGAAACTCAAACTCGCTGCCATGAAGTCAATTCTGACTCATGAGTAACACAGTTTAAGGAGGCATTCATCCCTCTCCTCTTGCAAGTACTGTTCTAAAACTGTCATATACACACATATCGCTGTGTTGTATCTAGCAATTACTTTGTTAAAACCATATCAGAATCAGCTGGAGGGATAGAGGTAGAAGGACCTAGAGTTTAAAACAGATTTAAGAAGCATCTTTGATGTGTCAACTCTTGATGTCAGCAAATAGCTAATAATAATGAGGCAATTGGGAGATTTGAACTCGGGTTTTATACTTAATAACATTCCTAAGTTTTTAAGGATGGTGATGTTCCAGTTACGTTTAAGGGTCCATATTCCACTTAAGTGTCCCTCTCTACATGGAGTGAGATAGTTGACAAAGGGTTGGCAATAATTAGTAAATGCTCCAGATGCTGTTTGTTGGTTAAGTGTTGGGTTGCAAACCACAAGGTCAAACATTTCAAACTGACCAGTGGCTTTGCACAAGAGACAAGAGGTTGTCTGCTCCCGTAGAGATGTATAATCTCAAAAGCCCTGCATAGTGTCTCTCTGAGTCAGAATGACTCCACGGCAGTGGCTTTTACATGGATATGGGTAATGTTTGTTTGGGTCATATGGGTCATATGTTTGACCCATATATTCATCAAATAATTAATATATTATTTCATATCAAAATAATTTCATATATTATTAATAGAAAATTCCTTTAAAATTAATAAAAGAAGAAATAAATAGAATAAAATGCACATGTCTTAACCGAGAACTTTTACAACAATAAACTTAACCTATTTTTTTTGCTTAACCTATTCTTAATTACACTTTAACAAATATTAATTTCAGTATTTTTGTAACAGCAAACACTGGAAACTACATAAATTGCAATAAAGCAAAATGAGCTATTTGCAATGTGAAAAAAAGCAGGAAAAATATGGTATGATTGTTTAAAAAAATTCATTGCCATCAAGTTGATTCTGACTCTTAGTGACCCTATAGGACAAGGTAGAACTGCCCCTGTGGGTTTCTGAGACTAACTCTTTACGGAAGTAGAAAGCCTCATCTTTCTCCTAAGGAGCAGCTAATGGTTTCAAACTGCTGGATGTAGGGTTAGCAGCCCAACACATAAGCAGTGCACTACTTACTGGGTGGTGTACTATGTGTAAATATGGGGAGTGCATACAAAGGACACATGAGGGCACTTAAGAAGTCATGGTGGAAATGGAATGAAAAGATAATGGGATTTTCTTACTGTCTTTTTGATTTGTAGGAATTTTCCTACAATCTCTGTTGAGGATGTTCTGTGAAAGACCAGATTTTTCACAAATTTCATACTGTTTTTATTTCTCCAGTGTATGTGTAGTATCTTATGGGGTGGGGGGTGGCATGAAAAGGAGAGAAAAAAAATTTGTAGGCAGTTATTTCTGACTTGTCTCTCTTCTAGTGTGTGTTACTGCATTTATTGTGGATATCTTGATAGTGATTTTTTGAGCCTTAAAATGATTTTAAACAAAGCATTTCCACCAAGCTGGATCAGTTGGAGGCTCTTAGAAAGACCTGTGATTTGTGGCCCTAGTTTTATTAGAGGATCTGTACTTAAACCCAGTAGCATACTGTTTTATTCTAAAACAAAAGTAGATATGGTCTGATTTCAAAAGAGAGTTCTTGTGGGAATAATTCCTTATCTAAAATCCTATTTGAATTTTGTAGTATTCACTTCACTTCAAATGAGCTGGCTTTGTGGCTTTTTCCTCTTCATTTTTATTTTAGTATTTTCAAACTTTAAAGTATACTTGAATCACCCGAAGAGCTAATTAAAATGCAGAATCTCAGTCTAGTTGGAGTTGGACCCAAGATTTTCCACTTTTTACAATCTCCTAGGTAAAGTGAAAGCAATTTGTTGGTGAACTATACATGGGATAGCCGTAATCTAAAAAAGATATGTAATTTTACTTTAGTACAGATTCTTTAAACATGATTCCAAGCGACCAGTTCCACTTCCTGGCAGCCCGGTGTGTAACAGACTAGAACTGCTCTCTAGATTTGGGGGGGTAGTGATCTTGAGGGAAGCAGATCGCCAAGCCCGTCTTCCCCATTGTCCTGGGTGGGGTAACAACTTTCAACTGAAGTGATCTGCTTCAATAGAAGAGGGTAATAACTTTAGGGAACAATTATCAGAATAACAGAGTGTTAGGCTTAGTAGGCTGTCAGCAAATGTGTTGTTTGATAATTTAACGTTTTCTGCCATCATCCAGTTTGGAGGTTCTGCTTCCCTTCTTCATCCCCTTCAGTTTATAGATATACTTTCCAGATCCTGTTACATATGATTAAAGTACCATTATAATTCAATATAAATAGGAATATAAGAAAGATAGTGGGTTCTTTGAGATAAATAATTTTCTTATACGTTCTCTAATCAGACAGAAATCTTTTCCTCAGCTCCTAGCCTCTTTAGTGTGGCCTCAGGCAGTAACCCTCAAAACACGTGGTAGCTTCATGAATTGCCAGTGACCACAACCAGGTGGCTTAGGTGAGAGAGGCTGTGGTCAGACTGAGCTTCCCTATGTGCTGATCATAACTCTGGCTCTCTCCTTCTGAGTGAAATGTCCTGCGCTACAAGTGGTTGCGAGTGCTGCTCTTGAGTCTCCTATGATGGGCTCTGTGGTCTGTGCTGAGAACCAGAATGAGCAAAAGCAACCTGCCCTCTGCTCTCTCTGCTTACTGCCAGTTACAGCATTTTTCTTCCATAGCGTTTGAGACACCATTGATCTTCAGTGATACGTATGGGAACAACTGTTCTAAAATGACTTGTAAAATTAATATTAGAAGTATTTGGGGAACTTCTCATTTTAACTTTAGTTTTCATCAGAAAACTCAGTAGTATGTCATTGTTATCAAAAAGCTGGTGAATTAAATCTTATTACTAACAAACATTTTTCCTCATTTGCTTTGCAGTCGTCCTTTCTCTTCCAAGTGGTCTACAGCAAATCCGTCAACTGTGGCTGGGAGAGGTAAAGGCCTTTTTAAGAATCAGCATATTTTGTTTATATGAGTGTAACTTTTAAACAGCCTTCGTGTGACTGACAATAAAAAAGTTATTTCATAGCAGCTCAATACCACACTTATAAACTATACCTGTGTATACAGATATTATACACAGATGCTCCATGAAGCATTACTTAACCAGTCTTATGATACACTGTTGTTTTCATTCTATTTCATGTCTTTAAAAATACTGGCTATATCAGACCAGTTTATTTCATAGCCTATTCATTGGGATATGGCTCACAGTTGGGGTACCCTGATGGCTCAAATTAAGCACTTGGCTGCTTGCCAATCAGAAGGTCACTGTTCAAGCCCACCAGACCTTCTTCAAGAGAAAATGTGGCAGTCTGCTTCTGTAAAGAATTACAACTCTGGAAAACAGTGTGGGGCAGTTCTACTGTGCCCTACTGGGCCACTATGAATTAGAACTGACTCTCAACACTGAGTGGTAGATAGCGACTCACACTTTGAAAATTCTTTGCTTTTTAAACTGAAAACCTAAACTTTAAAAATGTACTGACTTTGTACTACTTAAGAGTGACAGCATCTCCATTGAATGAGTATATCTGTCCCCACTGTAATTCTTGCTACCGATGATAGTTAAAAGTCAAGCTGTGGCCATCTATTTATCATATACAATGCTTAATTTTCATAAATTATAAGCATCATCTCTGAAATAGTCTGGTCACTCTTCTCTCTTCTAAGAAAATTAAGAACTTTAGTTGTGCTAGGATTGAAACTCAGACATTCAGATTTTAAATTACTTCTGGTATTGTGCATTGTGCTGCTACCTTCTCACTGAGCACTTGTCGTCACAGGATAGCTCGTGGCGGGTTCAAATTTTTAACATTTTCATGGTGCTTACGGTAATTTATAATAGACTTGGTGGCTCAGTCATTAAGCATTATGCTGCCAACCACAAGGTTAACAGTTCAAGCCTACTAGCCAATCCATGGGAGAAGATGTCGCCGTCTGTTTCTGGAAAAATTAGATTGCCTTGGAAACCCTTATAGGACAGTTTAGACTGTCCTTTGAGGTCACTGTCAATCAGAATCGATTTGACGGCAACAGGTCTGGTTTTTTTGCTTGGCAGTGGTTTCAATAATATCAGTTACCCTTGCTTTGTCTCCCTCAGTGTCAGCCAGCAGCAGCAAAACCAGTTCCCTTGCAGGAAGTCTGCAGCGGTCCCGAAGTGACATTGATGTGAATGCTGCTGCAGGTGCCAAGGCCCACCATGTCGCTGGGCAGTCTGTGAGAAGTGGGCGCTTAGGGGCAGGTGCCCTGAATCCAGGCTCCTATGCATCACTAGGTAAGACAGCTGTGGAAGATGGCTCTCTGGTCTCAGAGAAGGCAGGATGCTATCTCAATGATTTCCATCCCTTTCTTGCGAATTGGAGGTACTCATACTGGAGACATAGTTCTGGATAGTTAAGTGGCCTTATTTCCACTTGTTTTTTGCCTCCTCGTACTGATTAAAAACAAAACTAGACCATTCTCGATGCCATGATTTGCCGGGAGAATTTTCACACAGCTCTGCAACGCTGCTATGTAAAGCCACTGGTTCCTAAGAGAAGTGTGGGAAGGCATTAGCCTCGATCTCACTTCTCTGTTCTCCTTTCTTTCTCCTGCTTCTATTCTTCTACCGAGAAGTTAAAGCCTGTTAGAGACCTGGGAGAACGGACAATTTTTCTGTGTCTAATCACAGCTTAAGCACATATTTCAAGAACTATTCAGGGTTTTTTTTTTGTTTTAATATATATTTATGTCCATCAACTTAAACTATGTGGTTGGTTTTCCATGTTGCTAATCTCTGTCTGTGCTTGTTTTTCTTTCCCTTCAAGCTCCTCTTAATGTAAACCCAATTTGAAATAATATACCTTAAATGTATAGTAAATTATTGTGAACTTTTGGATATATAAACTAGAGATAATTTTCAATTTATTCCTGGTAGTTTGCTCTTGGAAAAGTGAGCTCAGTCACTTTTACCTGCATTTTGTCTTGTGTGTTTTATTTATTTTGATTATTGGGGCCTCTTACAGCTCTTAGAACATTTCATACATCAGTTGTATCAAGCATATTCTTGTGTTTTAGTAAGTGAACTTGGATGGGTTACAATCTGATGTGATTCTGATTGGGGACATGCACAGGGAAAAGACTAGAACAGAACCATGTCTTTCCCTTGTCTTTCGGAGTTTATTCTTAAACGTGTACTTGCTACTCTGATTTTCCTACTCCATCCTTGCTTGCTTCTCTTTTCTCCAATGCCTGTGAGTCTTTATGAGTTTAATATGAAAATTGTTGAAGTTCGCTTCATTTTGACTCAGGTAGCAGGCAGGTAAGAGGAGCACAAGTGTGTGTTTCTGAAGTCACGCATGTGCGCTTGGTAGAGACACCTGCCTTTCCTGGTGTGTGTGTGTTTGGGGACTTCTGGGAAAGGAAGCAATGTATCAGAGCACTTAAAAGATCCCTGGATTTGGGATTATTCAGATAAAGCAATTCAAGAACTCATTGTGAACTATTTGAATCTATTTGTTCCGGCTTGTGTTTCTGTACCTATGTAAAATGAATAGCATTTTAATAACAAACATGCTTTAAATAAACATTCATAACTTTGAAGATAATCAGAATGTTTCACTGCATGTTTGTTTAATTATGAGATTTCAAAATTTGAAGCACACACACAGAAATCCTGCTTCATGTATGAATATAAATGGTTAACATCCTAAAGAAGAATATAAAAGTCATAATTTAGCAGTGTGATAAAAAATAATAATATTCAGCCATTAGTGTGGTTGTTTTAATACTGCTGTTACTGCATCACGTGCAGGAAGGAATACCCCTGGACAATGAAGAAAAATTACCCAGTCACCTTGCTAGATTCCTAAAACTCTGACTACAGATTAACAACTCTTCCTAAGATACTGGCTCGTAGATATTCTTTATCATGTCACTTCTATTTTTTTCTTATGTACTTAGACAGCATCGGATGTTTTATCAGCTGTAGTTGATTAGCATCAGGTTGCCTGGCACCGCCATTTTTATTTAAGTGTTGTGCTGTAAGTCACTGTGATGAAACATGTCACAAAATAAAAAAGATTAATAATTTTGGGAAAGAAGGAGTAAGAAATTAACATAACTTGCAAAGATGACATTTTAGAAAACCCTAGAGCTTATTAGGATTAAAAGAGAAGCCTGTTGATTGGATAGAAAATTATTATACAATATAAAACCTGCATCTCACATAGTAATATTCATTTAAACCACCTTAACTTGTTTATTTAAGTTAGCAACCTAAACCTTAAAGACCTATTAACAATTTAAGACATTTGAGAGACAGAGACTATCTGTTAAAATTTGCTATGGATACTTGAACTGTCAGAGACATTTCTTGAGGGAATGACTCAATATTATAACCATTATATTCCAAAATCATCATATAAGTAGAACTGAACATGTTAAGAATCTAGTTTGAACTAGGAGTGGTAATGAAAGGTAGAAAAGCAGCTCTCCTTGCTACTTCGTCGTGTTTATTGAGAAGCAATGACTATTGAGAGACCACAGTACGGAAGGGACTCAGCAGGCGTTGGTCAGAATAGGAAGCGCAGCGATGGTAGCTCTGAGTGTACTTGAGTATATGATAAAGTTGTCACTGCTGCAGTCAGAGGAATGAAGAAAGGATAGGTCACTCAGTGATGGTGTTTAGAGAGTTGACTTACTACTTGGTACAAAATTAATTTCTAGCCAGACTTCCTACCATATAAAAACACGTGCTAGATGGCTTAAATGTTGAATAAAAGCATAAAACAATCAGATAAAAACATTGTCGGTAAGCACTTAGTTCTTTCCAGGTACACTGCTTAGGAGATCTGGTGGTTTCTGCTTCCACACCCATCGAGAGTCTCAGTCTGTTAGTAGTTGCTGGAAAGAAATGAGCACATAAAAGTGGGATGGATTTTCTCTACTTTGAGTTTGCACTTTTCCTAAGATATCAAACTGGATCTATTCAGGAGGCAGTTGGGATATAAAAGTATGTAACTTGAGAGAGACATTGAATTAGGAAGTCTCTAGACAATGATTGTAATCTCCCCTTTAATATTAAACTCAGCATACTATGTAAAGCAGATGTTTCTGCTATTTTTAATGCCCCCCCTCCCCCAAATGCTGGATCTTTGTCAGCAAAAATATGAATGTTTTGCCGTTTTCTCTTTAGCCTGAAAAGCTTGATGTGATGGGAGGTGATCAAAAATTTGCATTAAGGAAACCTTGGTTTTTTTTAAAAAAATGAAACCTTGATAGATGTATACATAGTTATGAGTTTGTGAAATTGTGCTATTCTTTTGATTGCTTCTGGAAAACAAAAGCTAATTTGGATGCATGGAAAGAAAATAGTGTCATGGTGTCTTGAGCAGGTACCAGATTTCAGTTGGTTGAGGACGCAGTAAAGGGGAATGTGAATGGTGAAAAGAGGACTGAAAGAGCCCCACAACAGTCTCAGTGCTGATAGTCCTCTTCTTAAGACTTACTGAGTTACAAGCCACAGTCAACAGCTGCACATTTGAGGGAGGGGAGAGTGTTGTACACATCTTGTTGTTAATATGTACTATACATAGTGTTAACAGCTTGTTATTTCCTGGTATTGTCTCTAAGTTGATATGTAATGTGTCCAAAGAGAAATAAAGATCAAACGTATAAAGGTAATTGAGATAGTTTATTGTGTGGTAATACATTTTCAATAATAATGAAAAAGTAGGTATTCCTCTCATGTAATAGCTGACTTGCCCCCATAGTCATTAACGACTTATTCAATGTTAAGAAACTTTTTTTTTTAAAGATTGGAAGCATTCTGAATGTTTGCATGCTACTGTAGTGTGACGGGAACCAGCCCCTAACAAATAATCATGGTCTGGTAGGCTCAATTGTACGGCTATAATATATAAAGAATATAGTAAAGTCATCGAGAATAAGAGAGATAGAGAGAGAGAATAAAATAAAGGAGTCAGACACATTTCATGGTAGCATGCTCACCTCATCCTCTCTTGATGGTCCATGTGGGGATGTGGAAGGAGGAGAGGACAGGAGAGAGAGGGAAGAGGGAAGGATTGGGAAGGAGGACAGGAAGAGAGGGGGGACCATTGGAGTGGGGACCTGACCAGAGGAGAGAGAGTCTTTATTGTTTTGGGGCTTTTATAGGTAACATTAGTCGTGCATATTCAGGAGTTACATCAGTCACAAGGTGGGTGGTAATCACAGTAAAGTCCTCACACTAAGCTCACAGGTGAGGAAACCTAATACAGTACCTGCATTGGGGGAAGGGGAAGGGGGATGGGTGCCTCAGCGGGAGGAGAGCTACAGGGAGACAGAATCAACCATATGCTCACTTTAAGGCAACATAGCTGTTAGAGGAGAATCTGCGGGAATGACATTTGTTAGTTTCCCACACAATAGAAGGAGACTTTGAATATACAAGGTTAGTTAGATCATTCTTCATTTATGCTGAAATTGGAAGGCTTGAGGCATGGGATCTCTAGCGTGGAGCTGAGAGGTCAACTACAGATCTGCACTAGGCACCAGCTTCACATAAGTAGAAGGGAAGAAAATGCGGAAAGAGGTAGATTCAAATAGACTTTGCTTTTTGAGACTGTGAGTAGCAGAAAGGAAGAGTATAGTGGAGAAATTGATACTTCTGTCTCAAGAATTCAGGATCATTTGCTGAGAGTAAACAAAGCGTGAGAGGTGACTTGAGGTTTGGAATAGCCAGTAAGGAGAGTGGTAACCGATGGGATTGTTTCAGGCATCCACAACTACCCACACCTTTAGGAATTCACAAGCCAAGCTGTTGGATTCACAACTAAAGTTTATTACAGTAGAAGGAACCCCATCCAGTCTGCCCAGAAGAAAAGTCTCATCAGGCGGAGTCTAGAAGAATGTAGTCTCAGGTTTCTAAAAGCTCCTTCTCAAAGGTGGTGGGGGTGAAGGGCTTCTCAGCTGATGGTCTTTCAGCAGTGGAATGCGTCCCCACGTGCAGTGTTTCTGTCCAGGGACACCACCTCAGACTGTCAGCACAGCGCAAGTAGTAGTCTAGAAAACACAGTTAAATTTGTCAAGATCTGAGATTCCTTAGGGAGTGATAGTTCTCAAAGAGAGAGATGGGGAACAGCAAAGCAATAGTGTCCCAGCCAAATTGTAGGATTTTGAGGTCTGTTACAAGCTAAATAAGAAAAGAAATGAGCTGAAGTGGCTCATGGATTGGGAGAAAGACCATAGCAAGGGGTTTCTCTGGTTGGACATGGGTGTCCCTAATCTTTCTCTAGGCTGATGGAAATCGGTTTTAAATTCGCTATTTTAGTACATTAGGTATAAAGCTTTATCTTACATTCCAACCTAATCTTGTTTAATCAAACAAGAAATTTGAATATTTATATTATGAATTCTGTCTTCTTAAAAAAATTTTCTTGGGCTTATAAGAGTATTAGATCTAATATACTAAGTTTTCCTCTGTTCTTTGCTTGCTCTTTCATCAAAGAGGATACTTCTGACAAGATGGATGGTAAGAACTTCTTTTTCTAATACTAATACTAGATATTTTGATGACTCTAGATGATTTATCTTTGTTCATTCTTCTCAATTTCTAAAAATATACTAATTTGCCTGAAGGTTTTATGTGAAATGACAGCATAGTTCTATGACTAAATTTTCAGTGAAGCATATCCATTCTTAATCCACTCAAATACAGAGTTACTGATTATTCTTAGTTAAATAAAATCTCTTAAACATTTTTACCTGAGTTGGTAGTATAACAGCTTTCTGAATAGTCCTTATTTCTTAAGCCTTTCCGTAAAATTTTCAGAAGACTCCCATAAGTCAGTTGATTCAGTCCTTTAGTTTACTGGCTGATACGTACAGAATGGCATCTTTTACAAGTTCATATGGTTATTTATAATAATGAAATGCAAGTTGCAGATGCTGTCTGAGAGTAAGTTTTAAATTAAACACTGAATCAAATAGGATTGACTTTAAGTTTTACCTTTTTAATCCTAATATTCAATGACTTTTTTTTCTGTAGTTGCTTAGTTCAAGAACAAACCTGTGCTTCTGTAGTCTAATACTAGTCAGCATGATATATGTTCTCAACTCTAACTTTATTGGATATTATAATATTTTCTTAAGAACTTATCCTTTTCTTACAAATGTAACATAAGATCTAAATCTGTAACTAATAGTATAAGAATAGCATTTCTTAGGAAAAAATTAAAGTGTTTTTGTCAATTATACAAACTGAAAATTTATTATGGCTTTCATTTTAATAAAATGGGCTTTAGGTCATCTGGGTTCAGTATATTAAAAATTTATGAAATGCTATAAACATATATATAGTAGTCTCTGTAGAATTTCATAAAAATTTTAAAAATATATGTGTGTATGTATATGTATGTATATATGTGTATATATGTACATACACACACATGTACATATATACCGGTACACAAGAGAGCTTCAAAAAGTTCATGGAAAATGGAATTGAAAAATAATGGAATTTTTAAATGAACTTGTAGAAACTCGTGTGTGTGTGTGTGTATACATACGTGTACATGTGTGTTCCACAGGTCAGAATGTGAAAACGGAGGATAGTCATATTAGATCACCAATAACTGCTGAGTTCCATCATTACACAATTGCCAAATCACAGAATTATGGCCCAGCCAAATGGACATATGATCGATCTTACCTGTCACACAGCCAGCATTACCCTTACCTTGCAACCCCAGCATTCTTTACTGCCAGCCATGTGTCGTTAATGCACAGCATAGTTGGATAGTTTATTATTTTTTTTACTGTTGTTGTAAATGCAAAATGACAGCTAAAAAGATAGTCAATAAGGGAGGGGTTAAGGTGTATGTGTGTAATAGGAGCAGAACTTTTTGAAGTGCGTCCTCCCCCCCCATGTGTACATGCATAGTTGCTGTTTAGTAGCAGTAGCAATTCTTTTCTTTTGCACTAATTTTCATTGACAACTTAGGGGACATACATATGTGTTGAGTAAGTAACTAATGAATTGATAGTTCTCTGGCTCTGCAGATGCTGAGGAAAATGCCAGGCTAATAAGGCCAAGGTCATGGATTTGTTTTGTGCTTGTCATTTAGCATTTCTGTTTCCCTTATAGACTACCTTTTAAAAATGAAGAGTATCTAGTTCTACTCTGTAAAGGTTTATATAAATCTTCATTTTCAAAGAAGCATAACGATAGCTTTACCTCTTTCTTAAATGATTAATTTATCATACTTTCATCACAATTTCAGATTTTAAGAATGAAATAAAGTAGAAGTTTACCATTTTCAATTCTCTAATGCTAACTTGTGTATATGTGTGTGCTCTGAGTCAAGTGCTTGAAATATTTCCATTTCTCAAAATGAACCTTTAAGGCTTATCAAACCAAAATTCTATTTTTGTTTCCATCCTTTCAGTTTAGTCTTGGGTGGGGGTCTCGAGGTAGGTCTTAACATCAACCTTGGCAGAATTTGTTGAAATACTATTATTTTATTTCTCTTATTTAGGAACAGCATCTGAAGATGGTAAGAATTATATATTTTGCTAGTAATATGAATACCTCTGCATTAATATTTTCATTAGTAGGAATTAAACATTAAAAATAGGCTAATATCTTTGCAAATCTAAATAATTTGCAAGGCGCAATAGCTTCTATCTATATTTTATGTTTGGTTCTGTTATATGTATGAGTTTTTGTGGATTTTTTTTTCATTTGTTGATTTGCTTTACATCTTGGATCATCACATGCTTTAAAACAATTGCTTAATATGTTTAATAATAACAAAGTCATATAAAATTAGAACATCATTTCATTTTTTTCTGTAGTGACATTTATGCCTTCCTTTTGTTTTTCTGTTTTTAGTTATTAAATTTATTTCAATTCATTTATACTTTGGGAGAGCATGCACCATTGTTTAATAATGATGTCATTTTCAAGTTTAAAAGTTTATTAGTCTTCTCTGAATGTCTTTTATGTTTTGAATTAGTGACAGGGGATTGAGATACTTTATTTGAGTTTGGGATTAAAAAAAAAAGACTGTACATAAGACCTTCCTTTGCTGAGCCAGTATGCTTTTCAGAATAAGTATTGGTTGCCTTTGAATTTGTAGAGAAACGTAATCTTTATAGTTACCTCACCTGAGGCTATATTATCCTTTTTCCCCCCTTGAAATTTTACATGGATGACATTTTTTCTTTCAGTGTAAAACTAAATGAATTATTTTGTATCCTAATATTTAAAGTTTTTAAATACTCTATTAGAACCATGATTTGTAGTACTATAATCTAGAAATTTTAATATCAAAGTACCAGTCATATCCAAATTTCATGGTTATATAGAGAATTTATGTGGATAAGTTCTCCATTTCAAAAATAACAACTTGGTCTTTCTATTTTATTCTTACTCAGAAAAAACATTTTATCCTATTCTAAATAGACTGTGTAAGAGAGCAGGAGGCCTGAATTGTGGGCTCATTAGGGGACTTGAAGAAGGTGGTGGAATACTAGAACTCTGCCAACTGCACTTTTGGGTTTGCCTCTGTTTATTCCTACTGCATATTTCCTATCTCTCATCACATCCTTCTTCATTTTGTGTATTCCTTCTTAAGAATATAGTTGTATCAAGCTATTTTAGGTGTGTGTTAGAAATTGAGCTGAATTTAACTAGAAAGGTTCTGAGCCCTGCTCTTTGGTTATGTTTGATACTGGTCCTGATTTAATAGGGGTTGAGACTATTTTTGGAAACCCCATACCAAAAAAAAAAAATCCCATTGCCGTTGAGTTAATTCCAAAACAGCAATCGTATAGAGTGTTTCCAAAGCCGTAAATCTTTACAGAAGCTAGTCTCTTTTTTCTCCCTCCGAAAAGCTGGTGGCCAGCTGGTGGGTTTGAACAACCTGCCAGCAATTCCGAGCTCCTTAGGAGAGCTCTGGATTCCCAGCTGACCACATTGCTGTCTGTGGATTGTTTCAGAGCAACCCAACAGGACCTGGTCCAACTGCCCTGTAGGGTTTCCAGAGCTGCTCTCTTTATAGAAGCAGAGTGACACAGCTTTCTTGGTTCTTGTTTGTTTGGGGAGTTTTATTTGTTTGTGCATGACAAATGATTTAAGAACCTTGATAAGCATTACCTCCATTAGTTCAAGTGCTCTAGAAATAAGATTAGAATTGCCCTGGGCTGATGGAGATGGGTCACAAAGTAGTGAGGGAAGAGGAACAGAACAATGGAGAAAATGCATTGAACAAAGTGCCAACTGTTGAGTAATCCCTCAAATCGTAAATGAAACTGCCTGGAGGAAAAGTAATAGACCCTCCACATAACCCTGCACGGCTGCTGTTTGACACCACATCAAAAGAGGACTTGCACTACCTGCTAGTGCTTCCTCCGGTAGTCCATTTAGAAGTATATCTTTCAAAGAGTTATTTAGCATTGTGCTTCTAAAAATAGGCTTATATTTAAAATTCTAGGCTGGGTTGGGCAATTCCACTTCACTGTATTAATAATGTCAAACTGAGAATGGACAGCTTATAGTTGGACTATATTATTACCCTTAAAGAAAAGTAAGCTTATACAACATGTAAAAATTAGAGTGCATTTTAAAATTTTAAAAGAAATGCAACCTGATTGATACTTACCTTCTTACAGAATTTGGCACATGCTTGAAATGCACACTCAATTAGAAAATATAGTGATTCCCCCCTCATTTCTAAATATAATAGAAAACTGTCTTTAATTATGGAATTGTTTCATTTTATTCCTCAGGCCGGGTGAGAGCAAAGCTTTCAACACCACTTGCTGGCATGGGAAGTGCTAAGGGAGATTCCAGGGGACGAAGTCGAACAAAAATGGTGTCTCAGTCACAGCGTATGTATTGGTTATCAGTCCTCCTGTATTTGTCAACATGGTCGGATAAACATGTTGCTTGTATATTACTGTATTGGGAAATTGACCAATGGATAAAGAGAGAGCTAATTTCAAAAAAGACGAGCCACATACTGAGTTCTTGTTCTATACTTTAGGTTCATCATCACCTGACAAAAATGAAGGTATTTTTTCAATGTTTTGGGTCAGTCGTTGTGCATGTTTTGGAATCTTTTGGAGTGGGTGTTGTCTTGTCTTTGATGTGTTCTTAGGGCTGCATCATTGATTCCTGCCACTTAGAAAGAAAAACTTCATCTGCTGTCAAATCCTTTGCATGGAGATAATTTAAATAGCACAACATAGCCTCAGCCTTAGGGTTTCCACCGTCTACTCAGAAACTTGCAAATGTAAAAAATTGTGCTTTTTAGAAGCAAAATAATTTCTATATTTAAGCATCAAAATCTGGCTGTGTCTAATTAATGTTGTTCAAGGACAGATACATGGCATTATCTTTCTCTCCCCCAAAGGATTTACAAATGCCTTCTTTTGCAGCAGCATTGTTGACAGATAAATACTGATTCATAAGGAAGAAACATAAATTGAGATGGCCACTTCTATTGTATTCCTTCTTAAGTTTAAGATTTTTTTCTGCTTCATTGGAAGCTGGCTTCCTTATTAAGCACAATTATTAAAAAGCACAATTTTGAGATCTAGGTAAAATGAATGATCCATTTCTACATGTTCCAGAATAGTAACATATTTTTTTTTTACATTATTAATTTAAAAGCTTTTGTTCCCATCCCTTCTTTACCAAGAGATTTTCATGAACATATATTTAAAAAAAAAAAAAAGGAAAAATTTCTAGGGAAGTATTTGTGCAAGGATTATTCTACATACTTCATTATTGGAAAGAAGTGGATTTAACATCTTCCACTGAAAAGGTGATTGATCAAACTGTGAATGCCCTGTTTATCTGTTCTGTAGCTGGGTTCTTGACACTTTGAGCCTCTGGTTTAAAACTAGTGAGAAGCGTGGGGGCTCGGCAGGTGGGATCGTGATTGCGCAAGCCATACCTAGCAGACTCTTCTTTGCAGCATCAGAGAACTTGAGCAAAGTATCCATGGGAGCAGCCAACAAGAGTCCTGTCACAGAAGCACAAATCGTCAGTAAACTTGGTTTACAAATTAAAATCAATTTGCAAATAGGAAAAATGGCCTTTTCTCCCAACCCAATTAGGAGTTGCCCATATCACATTTTGCCATAGTCTTGTGTCTGTCACAATAATTTTTGGAGTAACAGTTTTTCTACTGAAAACTATTATAATGTAGTCAGTGAGAGCCTTGCTGCTGTTCCCTCTGTAGCCTACAGATCAGCACCATCACCTGGGGACTTGTTAGAAATACACACCATCATATGAGCCCCACTCCAGATCTTCCGAAGCAGAATCCTCTTCTACTTAACAAGACCACCCAATACTTTGTATCTCAGATAAGTTTGAGACAGACTGATTTTAGATCCTAGATTCCGGAGTCATGCTGTCGGGTGTGAATCCTACCTCTTCCGGGTTATTTAAACCCTGTATTTCCTATGTACATCTGTAAAACTGTGTACCTCATAGGGTCATTGTGACTATTAAAGGATGCAGTATATTTCATAAACTTAAAGCAGTACCTAGCTTAGAAAAAAATGCCTGTGTCAGCTGATAAAATTCTCCTGAATACTAGTCTTCATTTACGTGGATTGAATTTTATATTCCTATTGTGTCTATCTCTGCCTTGTTACTCTTATGGCATCCAGAAAATAAATAGTGATAAAGTTAAGGAATTTAAAGGCTTAAAAAAAAGAAAAATGGCAGTGAGAAACAGTGTTTGTTCAAGTATCTTAGGGAAAGAAGTAAATTGTATGTAAGATTTCTTACTTTGTTTATCTCAAACAATAATATCAAATATATTAAATATAAATAATATTAAAGATTGAACCCAGGGAAGAGTGCTTTTTATATGTTATTTTTAGTGTATGATTTATGAACCTCCCTCTTAGGTACAAGATTGTTTTTAAAAGTTCGTGGAAATCTTTCATTAACTTTTCATTCCATCTTTCCACTAACTTTTTGAAGCCCCCATTTACATAGTAACTCCAGATCCAAACAGTATAAAATTATTCCATGATAAAATAATAAAACATACATCTATATGATTTATTATAAGCACGTCTGTATGTGTTTTCACTTTGAGACTCACTCCATGAGACTTAACATAGTGATTGAACTTTTAGACCTTGTAGGGCTTTAAGATCAGGCTTTCTCAGTGTAAAAATCAATTAGGCCTTAAATATCAGTATGGTTTTTGATAGTTGCTTGTTTATTTATCTAAATAACTGTATGTTGCATTCCAAATTGCTTTTTAGCTAGAAATTGTGGCTGTATGTAATTTGATGTAAGTTTCTTTGCAACATATTTGCACAGATATATTACTGTATTGCCTCCTTTACTTTGTTGTATGGGAATTCATTAGGGTTTGCATGGGTCGTTTCAAATTTTAATATTACCATTTGTGGGGGGGTTCTCTTGGATCAATGTAGGTGTATGAAAGCCAGGCCCAAGGGAGAGACTTTATAAGAGGTGTGTCTTTTTGGTTCAGAGCAACTAGCGCGTAAATGATTGCAGAGCCTGTCACAATCGTTGTCCCTCACCCTACCTCGTTCTTTTGTTTGTTTTTATTCCCCTCCTTTCTGTCTTTGTCTTGAGAAAGATAAACTTTGTAGCTTTTTAATGTAATATTTCTTCAGCTGTAATATGATAGAGAGCTTCCTAACCTGTTGCTTTAAATTAAATGTTTAAATAATGAAAACTTAAACATTTAATTATTTGGATTTTGGACTATCCGTAGTTGAAAAGCTGAAGAATGTGCATTTACTCTTGCAACTTCATTTCATTGCTTTTTATATGACTGTCTGATTTCAGTTTTCCAGCTACAAAAACTGCTAAATGTAACCGCTTTTATCACAGACCTCTGTGGTTTGGGTTTTTTTTAAAGTTTGCTTTTTTGCCTTAGGGCTTTTTATTTTTTGAGAACTGACTAAAGTTTCTTATTTCCACTTGCCACCCATTTTAAATCTGCTCCTTCCCTCTTCATGGATTATAACCCTTACCCTCATTCTGCCTTTGCACTTGTTCAGGATCACAATCTGCTAATACCATTGGTGGTAAGAATCTATAGACTTTATGTGTATATCTATTGTTTGGTCACCTAGTTTCATTTTTAAGTATGGGTTCTATTCAGCAGAAATTCTTAACATAATATTTCATGATTTTGTTGCCATAGTGAGGCAAGAATGGTCTATTCTCATTTTTCTTTGGCCTGTTTTTATTTGATTATCAAAACTCTGGATGTTGAAATTAAAGCAAAGGACCTTCAGTAATGCTTTGCAAAGAGCTCGTAAAATGAAAGCTTTAACCAGAGGAAGAGAAATGAGATACTACTCAATTTCAAGTTTTGGAAATGAGCGTATTTTCTAGTCATGTACTATTCCCTTTTCTGCTGTTTCTCTCAAAGAAAGAATTAGCACTATTTTCCAGCTTTGGTGGTTCTCTGCTGGGGAAAGAACCTTGGTATTTTCTTCCATGTTTAAGTACATAGTTCCACAATGAATGACAGGCACTGGAGTTCTCACACCGTTTGTGGGGACCAGGGAGCCTTTTAGAGAAGATGATGATGATTGAAGCAAGATGATTGTGCCAATTGTTTTCCTAGGAGAAGGCCTGAACAAATTTAAATGTCTATACAGTCAGCTTGCATAATTTTGATCAATTCCATACAACTCAAGTAGATGGGGCTACTTTTCTACCGCATGCCACCTTTCTGCTGAATAGACCCCCGGTTCAGAAAACTCTCCACTCTTCTACTAGCCCCTCTCCTCCCAATTTCTATTGGTTGTAACAGAATTCCATATTGTGTTTGCTCGGTTCATTGTTTGTACTTTTTTATATTATTGCGGATTTTCCCATAAATATCCCATTAGCTTATCTTGCATTGTGAGTTTGTGGCATGTTGAGTCATTGGATGTTTTGGTGTGTGTGTGTGTTCGTGTTTGTGTGTGTGTTTAATTTAGACACTGCATGGAGAAAATAGGTATCTTAGAGTATCATTAAGGTTACAACTGAAGGAATCCTCTTTAAGTATTCTCACTGAAATATCACGAAACATTCAAATGAGCCATTATTTCAAGTAGCCTATGTTTCTTATAATTATATAGATTTCCTTCTATTTAAATATGAATTATTAATTTTGTCAGAAGCATTACTTTGTTAATATTACTGTACCTAATAAGATGTTTTATTGTTTGCTGGTAGAGTTTAGGAGTTAGACAGGAATCTAAACAGTACTCCGTAAGTTCGTGGCGAAAAAACTATAGCAAAAATTACAGATGGCTTTATCCAGCTTACCTATATTCATGGAATATTGGGTCTACCACAGCTTGAACTCAGGAAACTTTCATTTTAAAAAAATCTCAAGAATTGGTTGGTCTTGCCTTAGTAAAGTGCCTCTCCTGCAGGGAAGGGGTAGGCACACACTGCACCATCCCCTGAAGCCTTCTCTCAGCTCCCCCCTTAATGACATTCCTGTTTTTTTCTACTGTGTATTTGAGTCTTTGCTCAATGGAAATGAAGCATGATTGGGTAACACTATATAAGGTGAATAGTGACGATCCTGCTAGGTAGGAAACATGGTGTGCTGTGAAGGGACAACGTAGCTTTCACAGAGATTCATTTAGTGCAAAGTGCTTTTTTTTTTATAAAGTTACCATTCAGAATCTAGGATTAGACTATACCTTGGAATTACATTATCTGTTTTCCAATACAGACATAAATGCTTTGGTTGCAGGACCCATCCTTAAAAGGTCTCCAAAACCCAAGGCCATTGAGTCGATTCCCACTCACAGCATCCTATTCAAGTTCCCAAACTGTAAATCTCCCCTGGAGCGTATGATCTGCTCTTTCTCCCACAGAGTAACTGGTGGTTTTGAACTGCCTACCTCGCAGTTAGCCCAATGCCCAACCCACACTGTAACTGGTTTAAAACCAAGTGTTTCTTCCCCCTTCTCCCCACTTTTTAAAACTCCACATCTCAGGCTATGAGATTTTTGCCCTATTCTGCCTTTTCAAGGAGTCCCTGGGGGATGGGTGCAATGCTGAATGCTGACAAACAGTGGAGGTTCATGTGCACCCAGAGGCCCCAGGAGAAAGTCCAAGCAGTCTGCATTCCCCAAAGTCAGCTTTTGAAAGCCCAGTAGAGCACAGTCTAGTCTGACACATATGGGATCACCAGGACTCGAGATGACTCCATAGTAATCAGTCCCCTCTCCTCCACCTGGCCACATTGCTCCTCCCTTCCAAAACTGAAAAGCACTCCTTCAAATGTGGTTTGTCATCTTTGGCAGTTGACCTTTAGTTCTGGTCTACACTCAATATCTCTGTATCCCAGACTGTGGCCACTTAGGTACCTTTTGTATTTGAAGGCATCTATAATCTCCTTCCATTTTCTTTTCCAGGTGGTCTAATGTTGTTAACAGTTAAAAATTTAATATAAAAAATTTAATGTATGTGGTAGTAAGATAAACTTTTAACCACACACTTCAATTCATTGCTTCAGGCAAATAGTTTATCATAAAGCATATTACCATTATTGGTAATATTAGTAATCACATTTTTCCCCCTTTTAAATATGTAGCTTTTCGATACAGAACACGTTAGCTGTACACAATGTATTGTGAGATAAGTAGTTTCTTTGGAGATCTTTTATACTCTGTTCTGAAAATTATAATTTTGTCTTTATTAAGCTTAGTATCTTATAACATACCTCAACTGAAAATGTCATTGACATAACTTACTCAATCCTTAAGAATGTAGTACAGTAAAACCTGCAAAAGCCAGAACCTGTATAATGTGGAAATCTATTGGAGAAGGAAATCTGAACTATTTTTTTTCCACTGATGAAGAACAATGAAAATATTACGGTAAGATCCCACCATATCAAAGGTGAAAATTTCACAAGACTCGGGGGGAAAAAACCATCCCATTCTGGCTCTCACAGGTTTCACTGTATGCCATTTTCTTTGGAGGTCCCCACCCACCCCCCCAGGTTATGATTTTATATGAATCTTCCTCGATCCATTTCCTTAGAACTCAGAACCTGCCATTCTATCCCACTTCTTTGGATGTATGGCTTTCATTTCCATCCACCTCCCAGCAGTCCTCCTGGAACTCATATCTTAATTGTTTGTGTGTTTGACTCATATCTTAATTGTTTGTGTGTTTGGTGTTCAGCTGGTAGCCGGTCTGGGTCCCCAGGAAGAGTTCTGACCACGACTGCCCTCTCCACTGTGAGTTCCAGTGTTCAGAGGGTCCTGGTTAATTCCGCCTCGGCACAGAAGAGAAGCAAGATACCAAGGAGCCAGGGCTGCAGCAGAGAGGCGAGCCCGTCAAGGCTCTCTGTGGGTAAGGTTTTCCCCTGTGTGCTTTCAGATTTTTTTCATTTATTTTTTCTTTCAAGCTTCGGTAGTGTTGAAGAATTTGGAATACAGTTAGGCACTGAGAAGTTAGAGGAAAACAGCGACGTGAGAATTGGTTAAAATGGAGGTGATGATCTGAATTAGGTATCTTGAAAGTATGATTCATAAAGAGCTTTAAAAAATAGAGCTAGCATTTTAAAGCATGGAATTATTAGGTAACTATATTTGCTGTATTTGTGCGTATACACATATATTTATATGTATATATATTAACTGCTTGTATCTGTTACTTCTAGATCAACCTTGTTCAAATATTAACTTTTTCGTCTGTGTATCGGGTAGAATACTTTCAATTTCAGATAACATTGCTATTGAAGTCAGCTTAAGCAAAAAGTGGGGTGGGGGCTGGAGGGGGGGCTTATTGCCTCTTTTAATTAAAAAGTTTGGAGGTCACATAGCATCCATGATTGATTGATCCAGGGGTTGATTGATCAGCCTTGCCTTCAGAGACCCGGTGTCCATTATTGTCATCCTCCTCTCCCTCCCATTCTTTCTTGGGTCCTCTGTCTTTTTTCTTGATTTACTCCCTTGTTGTACTCATACACATCCTCTGATTCCTAAGATTGGGTGTGGGGAATGAGCTTTGGGGGCGGGGTGGGGTGGGCCTCACTTGTCTGAGAATGTCTTTACTCAGTAGGTGCCACAGACTTCTTGTAGACCTTCGTACTTTGAATCCGTGCCCTTTCCGTGGGAATGCTTTTCATGTGCGCTCCTGATAGTTATTTATCAGGAGATGCTATAATATAAAACATCCCCAGACCCTTGAAGTTTTTATCTAGGATGACTTTTCTCCTGTTCATTTTACAGGCATTATTTTAAATTCCAGTTTTAGTTACTCATTAGTACTTGTGTTTGTGAGCGTTCATTTGTGAGGAAAAAGGAGAGGGATATAAGTTAAAAACAAAAACTATTGCTTCATTTTTCCCTCTTTATCTTGGCATGAAAGCATAAGGAGCAGTTTTATACTTTGGGTTAATAGTTTATGTGAACAGACATTTCTATTAAAATAAAAGTTATGATAACTTTAAAGAAATAAAAATCTGGACCTATGATTTCAAAGAGGTGCGAGATAAAACTTAGTCACCATCAAAGACCATTGAGTTTGAGTATGTAGATCAGTATTTTTAATCTTATTTTAACATTTTGTTTAAATAAAATACTACTTTACCCTTCTTGCATAGAAGTTAGAGGACCACAGTCAAGAAATGTAGTTGCACTGCTGTAATGCCTCATCAGGAAAGAAGAAAAGTAGAGCCCACCTACCAAACAATACAACCTGTGCCTTCTGTTTCCCTTTCTCTGCTGTTGTTGCTTCACGTCAGCCCGAAGCAGCCGTATTCCTCGGCCAAGCGTGAGCCAGGGGTGCAGCCGGGAAGCTAGTCGAGAGAGCAGCAGAGACACCAGTCCTGTCCGCTCTTTCCAGCCTCTCGGTGAGTACGTGCGCAGGGGCGAGGTACATTGCTCCCCCTGTGTTTTCAACGTCCGCTCAGCTCAACATTCCTGAGGAGGAAATTACATGTTTGGGAAATTATTTTGACATTTACTTGTCTTAATGAGCAAGTCAGTCATTTTATACATGAATTGACTTCATAATCAAGTAAATACCCCATGGATTTAAACTGTAGAATATTAAATTCAATATTTTTCTAAACAAATAAATTTGTAAAATATAAAGCTAATATTTAATATTTTAGTCTGAAGGAATACAAACAAGTACAATAACATACTTTTCAATGATACATGTGTTTATTCCCAATTAATAATAATTTTTTAAAAATAAAGCATTATTTCATGAGGAAAAAATACTTTTCAGCAGAAAGACTGACATTCCAACTAAAACCAATTAAATTAGGTTATCAGAAAAAGTGCTAGGAAACATGTGAACTGCTACTTGAGGAAAATGATTAACATCTTAATAGTATTTTATTATTGAACAGTCATTTTTCATAAGTTAATTCCTGTCACATCAGCGATAGAAAACTTGTTTGTCCCTGATACTGGAGATTATATTATGTACTTGATATAGTATTATACAATGGAGCTTCCAAAAGTTCATGGAACACATTGAACTAAGACAAAAAAGTTTTTCCACCAACTTTCTGATCCACTTATTTATCTCAGCTGTAAAAATATTGATCTTTTCTATCTTTAGTACCTGTACAACTGAGCAACAAAATTCTTATATCGAGAACTTACAACTTTCGTATAATCTTGCAATATTTTAACTATAAGAAAGAGAAAGATTACAAAAGATGAGAGAAAGATGAGGCTTTGTACTCCTGTAAAGAGTTACACTCTCGGAAACCCACAGGGACAGTTCTACCCTGCCCTTTAAGGCCACTAAGAGTCAGAATTGACTCAGTGGCAATGGATTTTTAAAGTTTTTATATACACATACCTGAAGCTATTCCACACTTTTGCATTTAATTCCACAAAATCATTTATGATAGTACTTAGTTGCTCGTCAGATGTTGGTACATTTTAATAGAATGAAGTTCTACTTGATGTCTTTGAAGTAGCATATGCCTCTCTAGCATACCCACGATGAGATAAAAACTCTTCCTTGGACATCTCAAAAGGTAGAGACTCATTGAAGTCTTATGTACCAGATAGACACGGTAGTACATTCCTGTTAAATGCCATCAAGTCAGCTCCAACTTCTAGCAACCGTGTTTGTGTTCAACAGAAACAAAGCCAGTCCAGTGCCATTATTGCCAGTTGTTCCTGTGTTTCAATTCATCTCTTTGTGGGTGGTCCCTGTGTCACTCAATCTCTACCAAGCAGGATGTTCTTCTCCACGGACTGGTTTATCTCCTGATCATGTTCAAAGTATGTGAGGCAAAGTTTTGCCATCTTGACTTCCAAGAACTATTCTCAGTGTACTTCTTCCAAGACAGATTTATTTATTGTTCTGACAGCCATGGCACATACAATATTCTTCACCCAAAGCATGTTAGTATAGAATTGCTTAATTTTTTGTTCTCTGGTCCATTTAGCTCAAATATTTTCTAGGCTGTCCTGTGCTAGCCTAGAATAGCTCATGAAGCTAGAGACAGGACTGTCCTCAACATATTTTTCCTTCATCCCCTCTCCCAAGTGGGAAGATGCCAGGGTCAAAAGGCCTGTCTGCATCACTAAGACCCTCTAGGGGGCATATTTTGCCAGCGGTATTTAGTTTATAACCCAACTCACTTCCCCAGCCACAAAATGAAGATAATGGCCGCACCGACGGCTTAGAATTGTCCTGAAGACTGTAAATGAGAGACTGCAGGACAAATTCACCAGAGCAGCGCCAGCCGCCTGTGCTTTCTTCACACACCCCCTCCGTCCCCCAAATGGCGAGTCAACATCATGGATATCACTGCTGCCACCACCACTCCTGCTGCCGCTGCACCTCCTCCTCTTAAAGCACAGGTCACTTTACCCGAGCAATCATTTTAAACGTTACTGGCACCAACCTCAGGAGTTTTTAATGGCAGAACACGTATGTTTGTATCATGCTGATACTATAGCGTTACGAAATAAAGGTGAAATCTCCAGAAACCAAAATGTGGGCTTGGGAGCCGTTCTTTTTGACCTCCTATGCTTGTATGTGGACAGAAGTTTAGAGAAAAAACTTAAGCACATACTAATAGAAAGTAAATATGTTTACTGTGCTTATTTTCTTAAAAAGAATCAGCCGTGTAGCCATTTATTTCCTAAATCATCTTAAAGCCTCCATTCGACAGTTTTAAATTACTTAAATGTTATTCCCAGAGGAGGCAGGTTTTCCCCATTTGCATCTAACTTCTTGTTTGGGCGAAAGATACTGAAACCTGTCAAAACATAAACTTAGAATTTATTTCTGTAGCTCTGTTACTTACCTTACATACTCTCGATGGAGCAAAAATGTGTCCTGTTTCACAGATGTGAAGAGTCACATTCCCTGAGACTAAATTGTCTTCTCTGTTCCCATTTTCTGCTCTATGTGCCTGCATCCTGCTGTCCTGACTTTGTGTATTTGCTGGCATCCCATTGTTACTTTTCCGCAGATGAATCCCATAGCTTGTCATCTGTGCAGTCATAGTCATAACCCCAAAATATCAAAAATAAATCAAATGTGAGCAGAGCTGAACTTCTCTGTAACTAACTGTTCTATTTCTGATGTCAACATTCAAAAAGAGGCCTATTTTGTTAAAGGTGCCCCAAATGCATTTTAGGGATTGATTAAAAAATTATCATATCATTCTATTAATTCTTCTTTCAATCTTTTCATCATTTTACTGCTCATTAAGATTTTTCCTGTAGAAAATAAATCATCTTTATTATAAAAGAATTTTGACCATTCTAACTTAAATATACAAGGAAAAGTAACTTGAATAAAAATAATGTTTCTTTTTTTTAATTAAATCAATTTATTGGGGCTCATAAAATTCATCACAATACATAGATCAATTGTGAAAAATAATGTTTCTTTAGGTATAAAAAAATTTCCCAGCTTATTTCTGTATTAAGAGAAAAATGGATTTATGTTTTATGCAAATTAATTCAAATCGAAAATGCAAAATATATTGGATTTAGGCTCTACAGCAGTATACAAGAGCGTACATCACACACTGAGGTTTTTGGGGTGTATTTTTGTTTCTTTATTTTTTAGGGGGGTGGTTATCCATTATTTGTATTTTCTCCCCATATATTTAAATATCATTTAATATTTAACCTACTAGATGCAAGATTTATTTTTATGACTACTGTGGGAAAGGTTCATGTTTATGTAAATAAAGTGTATTATCCTCTGAGTAACATGAAGGTGCTGTGTTTACAGTTTAGAAGCCAAGACCCTGGAAGTGTATAGCTGCTAAGCTCTAACAGTTACGAGGAATGTGGCTTTGATCACATTAATTAACCTTTCTAGGCTTTAGTTTCTCCATCTTTTAAGTGCTATAGTAGTAACTGCCTCATTTAGTGCCAGGATTAAAGGAGATAAGGATATCCTTAGTTACTAATTACCATAGTGGGTTTTTTTTGTCTTGTTTGTTTGTTTTTAAACTGATGTTCCTTTTTTCTTTCCGCATGTGTACTTTTGACATTTCCTTCCATTTGAATACTTGCTTCTTGTCTTCTGAAGGTATCTGTTTGTCCACTCAGGTGTTAAGATATGTGTGTGTGTGTGTGTGTGTGTGTGTCAAGGATAATGTTGCAGTGCTAATTCCCAGTTGCCTATGGAGCAGGGTTCTGGTCCTTCACTATTTACAGTAACACCAGCTCATTGACTAGCTCCCCGTCCTGACTGTAGTGCTGCCACTGTTCCTTGTTTCTGTGGTAATAGATGAGGTTTGTATGGTCCTGTTATTCCAGCCTCCAGACACCATTCCAGATCTACTGGTGCCCTCTACGCCCCTGATGTGTACGGGGCTGCAGGTGAAGGATGAGTACATTTTCACTGTCTGTGCATCCATCCCAGATTTTTGTCCTTTTCAGTTTCCATTGAATAATAATCATGTTTTCATTTTTTAAAATTAATTTATAGGAGAGCAAATCATTTGTGCTTTTTTTTTTTTTTTTTAACCCTTCAAGTAACTTTTTCCCCCTGAGCACTTATTTGAATATTTTCCTCACTGGCAGATGAACATTATTCTTTTGTGTAACCTAAATTATGTTACTTTAAATTTTAGACTTGTTTTATGTTCTTAGTTATGTGCATCATCTCTGTACATGTGTTTAAGAAATGAAAAAGAAAAACCAAAATGGTGGATGAAGTGTTTTAATAGTAAGTTATGATAAAGAAAATAATAGGGGACAGAATTCATCTCTGGTTTGTCTTAGAATGCCGGGCACATAGGCACTTTTAACAAACACCAAATGGTATTTCTTATTTACAGAAATGAAAATCATTTTCATTTGTAGAAGGAAAGATAATAATGAGCTTTTTTTCCTTGTCAGTTCTTGGCGTAGCTTCAGGGAACCCTCTAATCTAAATCCATATGTGCATTGATTTTTGTCCTGGGTCCCTCTCTGGTTTCCCCAGGGAGATGAGATTAGCCTGACTGATACCACTGGATAAAGTACAGGGCACTAGACTTGTATGCTCTTGGTTGGCCAGCCATTCTTTCTTCTGTCTTCCTGGTCATAAGTGTATCACAGCTGCTATTCTTTGATTCTATGGGGCCGTGAGGGCACAATAAGTTACACATTCGGCTGTGAGCCCAGGGCCAGCAGTTTGAGCCTCCCAGCTGCTTCATAAGAAAAAGATGAGGCTTTTTGCTCCTCTGGCCCATAAAGTTGTACAGCCCACAGGGGAGCTCTGCTCCGACCTGCAGGGTTGCTGTGAGGCAGAATTGACCCAATGGCAGTGAGTTGTTATTTAAATTTATTTTCCACATTGTTAAAAATCTTACTTGCACTTAGCTTTTTATTTTGCCAAAAATTAAATGTGCCCCCCCCAAAAAATTTTTAAATGTGCCCAGAGAATAATACAATACTGCTTTTAAAATGCTTTGCCCCATTGGTTTTTGTTTTTTTGTGTTTTTTATTTTTCCTCTCCCTCTTAAAGGTCTTGAAGTGTCCCAACCTGACCCTGTTACGTTTATGGCCCTCTCACAGATCACTTCCTTTTTCTGATGACACAGGTCCAGGGTATGGAATCAGCCAATCAAGCCGACTGTCATCCTCTGTCAGTGCCATGCGAGTCCTGAACACAGGTTCTGACGTGGAAGAGGCGGTAGCAGATGCTTTGGTATTTTTCTATATTTCTTTATCATTTTAAATGTCCTAATTGTGAAACTAATGTGTAAGTAAACCATTTAACCAGTTTGGGGAAGAAGATCGAAAAATTCCTGTTCATTAGATTTAGGATGAGAAAGTGGACTTTCATCAGATTTTTGCAATATAAAAAGCAGAGCATAATAATTATTGATCTTTATTGATTAGTTAGGATTTTTATCCAGGACCAATACTAATTGATGGAGATGCCAGGAATATAAATGGTGACATCTTTTACATGGTAACCCTGTGTTCTGCACAACGATATACCTGACGGTGTGTAGACAGGCACCCTTTTAGACATGTTATTTTAGGCTAACTTAACCTTGAATGGTTAAGTATTTTCTCGTGAGGAACACGAGAACATTTTGTTTTGTCCCAATAATTTGTAGTTTCGAGGTTCACAAATTATAATGAAGATAACTACCTGGTTCTCTATGCCCAACACACATAAAGAAAACAATGAGGCTTAAAAGCCCTTTATGATCATTTATCTAAAGAGGACTGTAGGTCGCTGTAGTTTTTTCACACTTTATTATGAAAGTAGTATCATTTGAAATAATATATAGAATTGATTTTCACCAATTCCCCATCAGTTCATTATATTTCCTCTTGACAGACTTTCAGTAGAATTTACTCAGTTTCCGAAGCAGACTTATTAAAGACTTTGTGTTTATTTTGAAATTTTAAAATCTATTATACCTTTTAAAACTATAGTTCACATCTTAACCAGTATTGATATCATTTTTGCCACATGAATTTGATAAACAAGCTTTTAAAAAAATGGGTCTTAAGTAATCACATTTATTTCTGCTCTGATATCCTTTGCCTCTTGAATTTTCCCCTTTACCTTAGCCATTTGATGTTTTTAAATATGTAAATATAAGCAAGGACATCGTCATTCTCTTCGGCATGAGATATACTGATCACGCCGTTATCTGATATAAAATTGGTCAGGTGTGTCAGATTTCTTTTTCCTCATCAGTGTATTTCTCAAATAATGTTCTAGTTTGTTTTTTTATTTTTTTTTTGATTTGTTTGTTTTTTTAAATGAATAATTTACCAGTTACATTCTGCTTACATACATTTTTTTAATTGAATGGGATATTCTTCCATTATTAATTATATATTAAAATGTTGTGTGTGAACTATATGAGGGACATTTGGACCATGAAAATTAAAATCTGTACTCTAGTAATAGGTTCTGACAACTATTATTTGCATACTCAAGTTATAGCTACCAATGTTTAGGAAAAGAATTTTTTTGACCTGGGGATAATCATAAGACTTAAAATGAACTTCAGAAATAGCAAAAGAAATCAAACAGGAGAAGACTTAAGTTTCTTTGGGAAAGCTGGTTATGGGATTAGTTTGTCACTTTATTTCTCTTTGGACTAAAGTATACTGGCAAGATTAAAAATAACTCGTGCTAAAAGCAATTCTTTTGTACCAGTGTGTTTTAACAAAATGTTTCTGATCATAGGCATTGTTGTTAATGCCTGTTTCACTGTGCTGTTTGGCAAAATGTTCTTCATTATTTTCAATTTTTCTCCTTAAAAACTTACTGCTCTCAGCTCTTAGGAGACATACGGACTAAGGTATAGACATTGATATTTTCTGACATCTTTTGATTACATAATTTTATTTCTTTTGCTTCCTCAGTTTAACAGATGATAGTCCTGTGTAAAACTTTAAGTGGAAGTAATCATTCGTAGACATAAGTCTGTTTTTCTGCACGTCTGCTTATCAATAAGGAGATCCTGCTTTAACATAGGTCCAGTGGGCGTGCTGGTTCTTGATTTCTGCCTCTGTCGTGTCAATGTGCTGAAGTCTTGAACACCAGAGTGCATAACAAAACTGATCCTGGAGTCCAGGACAGAAAACACTGCAGCATGATCTTTCCAAATTTGGACACCTATTCTCTAATTCCATCTAAGGCATTTAGTATTAGAAACATCGTTTTAGAATTACCACAAATTAAGCTCAAATCACGTCGCTGTTTGATTTCAGACTTTGGAGAGTTTGTAACTACTTCATTTAACTCACTGCCACTAAGCTGAGTCCAACTCATAGCTACCCAGTACGACAGTAGGACTGCTCCTTTTGAGTTTCCAAGACCAACAGTCTTTCTTGGAGCGGACAGCCGCATCTTTCTGCCATCCAGAGCAACTGGAGAATTCAAACTGCTGACCGTGTATAAGCAGCTCAGCATATAATCCACTATGCCACCAGGGCTCCGCTAACTATATCAAATTACATAAAAGTTTATTTCCATCGCTTCCAAGGAGATCTTGAATATGATATTTTTTTCTTATCACTTTCATGGTGAAAATAAGGTTGGCGGAAGTAACAACCTTAAGTATAAAGAAAAAGAGGAATCTGAATATGCTTTCTAATGTTTATTGAAGTTATTGAAGTAGACAGTACAGAAACAAACAGATACGATGGCTCTCAAGCAATTTCAGGCCAAAAATAATAGTAAATAGAGAAGGTTCTCAGATCATTCTTTGTCTGTATTTTACTTCTCTAGGACGCATGAAAGTTGGGTACAAGAGAAAGACGAGTAGCAAGAAGAGTGGTAGAAAAAGTGAAAGGAGATTAAAGGGAAGAGAAGGTTAAAAACACACAAAAACTTACTGCCATCAGAAAAAAACACGAAACATTACTGCTGTGAGTTTCCAAGACTTTAAATCTTTACAGGAATGGATAGTCTCATCTTTCTCCTGTGGAGCAGCTGGTGGGTTTGAATCACAGACCTTGTGATTAGCAGTTCAGTGCGTACCTCTACCACCAGGGCTTACTTGAGAAAAGGGAAAAGTAGAAGCTCACAAAAAGAAAACATGAGTTTTTCAATCTGTTGGCTCATCCCTTTAAAAGTTAGTTATTTTCTCGTACAGTTTCTCTTCCTTTACAGTCTATTAATTTACATCTTAGTAATTCCGCTAACCCAAAAGCCAGCAGCTTGAAGCTACCAGCCGTTGTGTAGATGAAAGATGTGGCAGTGTGCTTTGTAAAGATTGACCGTCTGGGAGACCATATGGGCCAGTTCTGCTCTGGCCTGTAGGGTCACTATGAGTTGTAATGGACAAGAGGACACCAGACAACAATGCTTTGCCCTCCGTGTTCTACCATTCTCCAGAGTTAAAGAATATTTCACCTTCTACTAACTTCTAAAACACGTTTTCTGAAGAAAAACTAAATATTGACATTTTATTATAATTATTAGCAGCATGCTTTGCACTGATTTTAAAGCAAAAAATCAATACTCTTCGGTCAGTAGAAATTGCTATCAAAACAATTGTTTTACTTGCCACTAATGATATTCTTTGTGTGTAACAGAAAAAACCAGCTAGAAGAAGATATGAATCCTATGGGATGCATTCAGACGACGATGCCAACAGTGATGCGTCTAGTGCTTGTTCAGAGCGCTCGTATAGTTCTCGAAATGGTAGTATTCCAACATACATGAGGCAGACCGAAGACGTGGCAGAGGTCCTCAACCGATGTGCGAGTTCCAACTGGTCAGAAAGGAAAGAAGGTCTTCTGGGTCTGCAAAATTTACTCAAAAATCAGAGAACATTAAGGTAAGATGTATTGTCCTAAAACAATTGGCCTGCCCATGTCTCCATGCTTTGACTCGATTTTGTTACTCAAGCAATGTAGAGCTAATGGAATGCTTGTGGCGTAGTTGGGCTGCTAACCGTCAGGTTAGTCATTTGAGCTCACCAGCCAGCTACTCCATGGTAGAATGATGAGGTTGTCAACTCCTGTAAAGATTTGTGGTATCAGAAACCCTAGGAAGTTCTACCCTGCCCTGAAGGATTGCTATGCGTCGTCATTGACTCCAAGCAGTGGTGGGTGTTGGACAAACTTCTCTGACTTGTCTTAAACCGAAAGTGAAATCTGTTTGTTTTTCCTGGGCTTTAGTCCTTTTGAATATCTACACTATAGTTTGCTAAATTTCATATTAATTCATTGGCTCTGTTTAAAGAAATATATATTTAAGGAAATTTTTTATTCCTAAATAGAAGTTAAATTTTTCTTTCAAAAGATAAATAATAAAGCTAACTTTTATTGAAATCCCTTTCTGTTGAGGTTTCAATAGCGGACCGTGTGTACTCATTTGAAAACAAAGCTATGTTCTCAGTGTTGAA